TTTATTTATTTATTTATTTATTTATTAATTAATTAATTAATTAATTAATTAATTTATTTATTTATTTATTTATTTATTTATATATTTATTTATTTATTTATTGATTTATTGATTTATTGATTTATTTATTTATTTATATATTTATATATTTATATATTTATTTATTGATTTATTGATTTATTGATTTATTGATTTATTGATTTATTGATTTGATTTATTGATTTATTGATTTATTGGATTTATTGATTTATTGATTTATTACTTATTGATTTATTGATTTATTGATTTATTGATTTATTGATTTATTGATTTATTGATTTATTGATTTATTGATTTATTGATTTATTGATTTATTGATTTATTGATTTATTGATTTATTGATTTATTGATTTATTGATTTATTGATTTATTGATTTATTGATTTATTGATTTATTGATTTATTGATTTATTGATTTATTGATTTATTGATTTATTGATTTATTGATTTGTTGATTTGTTGATTTGTTGATTTATTGATTTGTTGATTTATTGATTTATTGATCATTGATTTATTGATTTATTGATTTATTGATTTATTGATTTATTGATTTATTGATTTATTGATTTATTGATTTATTGATTATTGATTTATTGATTTATTGATTTATTGATTATTGATTTATTGATTTATTGATTTATTGATTTATTGATTTGGCTGATTTATTGATTTATTGATTTATTGATTTATTGATTTATTGATTTATTAGATTTATTGATTTATTGATTTATTGATTTATTGATTTATTGATTTATTGATTTATTAATTTATCGATTTATTGATTTATTGATTTATTGATTATTGATTTATTGATTTATTGATTTATTGATTTATTGATTTATTGATTATTGATTTATTGATTTATTATTGATTTATTGATTTATTGATTTATTGATTTATTGATTTATTGATTTATTGGATTTATTGATTTATTGATTTATTGATTTATTGATTTATTGATTTATTGATTTATTGATTTATTGATTTATTGATTTATTGATTTATTTGATTTATTGATTTATTTATTGATTTTATTGATTTGACATTTATTGATTTATTGATTTATTGATTTATTGATTTATTGATTTATGGATTTGGCGGATTTGGCGGATTTATGGATTTATGGATTGGATTGCGGATTTATGGATTTATGGATTTATTGATTTGAAACGAAAAAAAATACCGCTACCATATTATAGCAACTCATGTATTTTTAATTTCATAATGATGTTTAAAATACATAGGTACATGTTTCCATGAGTAGTGGTTAAGTGACGGTTTTTTATTAGGTATGATGAAAAAGAAACTGCAAACTAAATTATCGTTGGAGCCAACCTTTTTGAATTTATTTTTACCTACAGTAACTATGCACGTAGGGATTCAAAATATGCCTATACTGTGAGTAGCAACTCCATTCGAGTATAAATTAACATTTACATTCCAAGTATCTTCTTGGTTTGCTATCCATCATTAATATTTTCCTCACTAAATTCTTCACTTTTACAAAAAACTATCACGATAAAATCAAATATCAAAATTATTTAACGCTAAACTTGTTCACTATACGTATCTGGAATATATTTGTGAATAGCGATCAATGATACGTTTACGTTAGACTGCCGCAGTGCTGACGTCACGAATGTCAATTGCTTTCGAAATCAACAAGGTTTAGTTCTTTATATTTCTATTGGAGCTCTTCCAAATGACGCCAAGTTAATATAAATGTAAAAACAGGTGATTGTCGACAACCGCCGACTTGCAGTCTGGTATTTCAATACGCCAATGATGGTTGCGCGTTAAAAATCTAATTTTAGCAAAAGCGCCAACGAAAAAATCAAGAGATGAATTCAATCAAAATTTGAAAAATAATTTTTATTCTGAGAGAAGTCAGTGTTAGTCAGTCATACAATTTTTTTACTCAAAAATATTAAATGCAAAACCCGTATGAACGCCACTGGTTGAAAGAAATAAAAGAAATTGTAGATCAAAATAGTCATTTTGATGCACAAAAAATGTGTACCAAGTTTCATAAAGATATTCCGGGTGCGTCTCAAAAGTGTCGTCTCACCCCCTATACCTTTTTTATTTTTTCAGATAAAAAAACGAGATTTGCTATGTTAGTATATGACGTAAATTAGGATTGATTGGTGTATTCAATTGTTTTTGGTCACTTCCTGTTTCACCGGAAACGACTACATCTTTTGATTTTTAAATGGCACCCTCGGTATTTTTTTACTTTATTCGATAGAAAATGTCATTCTGAATAGAATGACATATCATATGTCAACTTTTGACATTCTCGCTTCATAAAAAATTGTATTTTAAAATTCAATCTAGAGTGCCATGGCTATGTTAAAAACACTAATCTTCATCAAGGAGCCTTGGAAAAATAGATTTGATCGTCTAATGTTTTTAGTGTCTTGTCCTGGCCAGTTAGAAAATGCTCAAATCGTATTTTTAATCATAACTCAATTTTTTCAAATGGAACGAGGGTGGCTCATTAAGATATTTGGAAAAAGCATTTTTTACTAATAATTTGATACCACACACTTGGTATTTAAAGTCAAATTTTCGTTACGGACCGCAAGTTATAATTTCAAATAAACCATATGCGAAAATGTCAAAAGTTGACATATGATGTGTCATTCTATTCAGAGTGACATTTTCTATCGAATAAAGTAGAAAAATATAGAGGGTGCCATTTCAAAATCAAAAGTTGTAGTCACTTCCGCTGAAACCTCACCTGTATCTCAAAAGTTAAGACATTTAGGACATGCATTCATATTTTTTCTTAGGATAAGTCCAGGAATCAGCCTTTTAATTATTAGCATGTCATTAAGGAACACCCCGTATATATTGTAAAAAATAATCATAGAATAGAACTGACCTAAAAATTGTGTGTGGTAGGTTACGGTTTCTTGGCTTATCGAAATATATCGGATAAACGTCAAAAAATGAGAACGAATGCCTATAATAAAAGAGAACCAATAGTCTTTCCCGCCTGTCTACGTCAGAAGTAGAAAATCAAAAACGACACATCGAAGATATCCCTAATATCAAAATGTAACAGGCGAATTGACAATGTTGTTGTATTTTGCGGTTCAACGTTTATTAAGTTAGAGCCCTTGCATTTGTAGTGTCAGAAATGATTAGGCCGTCTTGCTCTTGTTGATTGGACGTAATTCAATTAATGGTGGCTTTACAAACAAGGGTCAGTCACATAAAACTTTGATTTGTGATTTTAAAGTAAATATAGGGGACTACTTTTTCGTTCATCTAATTCGATTAACTCTATGTTCTTTCTAATAAAATGTACTCGTATACAGGGTGCCACACTTTATACCATACGATCGAAAAAATCGCGTCAGCAATAGCTATGAAATGAAAATCGCCGTCATTATATATGTAAAATTATACGGGGAATGTCATCGATCGTCATTTCCACTCAAATCGTCCATCCAATTGGACGCCGTTTTTTTTTCGATCATACTGTAGAGTAGTAGGACTATATAGAGAGACCGAGAGCTGGCTACATAAAAAACCTTATCATCGTTACATGGCTAATTTTTTGTGTAAAGTATCCTTTTGTGTAGCCATTGTGAAATAGTCATGTCTGCCAGCGCGATCCCGGGGCTTAAAGCGGGTGCGGCCAATCGAAAGGGTGAAATTTTGACACTAAAAATATTATAAGGTACACGTGTTATAATTGCCAAATAGCTTTTATTTATCATTAGGAAACGTGTAAATTTGTTGACAGACATTTTTCTCGTGGCTGAAATGCCGGTAGACAACGCGAAAGAGGCATAGAATCTTGACAAAAGAAAATCATCGCATGTGTTGTGTGTGTGTTTATTGTTAATTAATTTAAAAAGCCGTATGCAAAAGGGCAGACAAAGAAATCGTTATTGAAATAATAAAAAAATATATTTATAATATAATCGTATATTATATGATTTATCTATACTTAAATGGATGAGGCGGCGAGCGGTCCCTGAATAAAGCGCTAGAGTAATATCCCGCTTTTGATAACTGTCTGCAGCTGATTGAGCCACGATCTTTTTGTCTGCCCTTTTGCATACGGCTTTTAAAATAAATAAATATGACATTTCACCAATCGGCATGCAAATATGCCATAATTTTTTTCATTCTTCAAATTTCATTTTTTAATAATTTTTAAAATTTCATGTCTCTTTCGCGTTGTCTGGCGGCATTTTAGCGACTAGAAAAATGTCTGCCAACAATTTTCCACGTTTCTTAATAATAAATAAAAGCTATTTTCGCAATTATAACTCATGTATCTTATAATATTTTTAGTGTCAAAATTTCACCCTTTCGATTGGCCGCCCCCGCTTTAAGCCCCTGGATCGCGCTGGCAGACATGACTATTTCATAATGGCTACACAAAAGGATACTTCACACAAAAAATTAGCCATGTAACGATGATAAGGTTTTTTATGTAGCCAGCTCTTAGACTAATAAGAGTCGATAGAAATATCTATTTTAAGAAGAAAAATTCATACCTGTCAATATAATTTCAATCAGGGTTCGTTTTAAAGCTGCAGCACCGTTCATAAAACTCAATGTTGTTAGTAGTGAGTTTCATGTACGGTGGTTGCAGTGTTGAAATTTTCGAGAGAGAAAATCGATAAGAGATCGATCATTTTTGACTATTATCCGAACTATCTCTGAACCTATATTAATATGACATGTTCTTCTCAAAGTAAGTTTTTCTGTGGACTGTCAGAATTCTGCAAATAACCGGACCGGAAATAAATGGACCGCCATGTATATGGAGAATATTGCGGAATAAAAATACTAAAATTATTGGCACTTGAGTTTTATTCAAATAAACTGGCACATTTTCAAAAGTGATAATGAAAAAAAATAATTATTTACATCTTTTTTTCTTCGTAAAAAGTTTATATATAAGAACCAAGTGTACAGAGAATTATTACAATACAATTTCTATCTTACCATATTATAGAAAAGAATATACCTACACAAACATATTAAATAAATATCACAGGAAAATTAAGTTTGAAACAATGAATGTTTAAGAAGGAATCGCCCAAAAATCTAAAGAGAAATTATTGTTGTTTCCGTTTTTATTTTTGAGTACGTTTGTTTTAGATTTTTGCGTAATGTTTTAGATAATGTGAAAAAATAAGTTTCTTAAACACTATTGCTGAGGCTTTTCTCGGAAAGATAGGCCTAGTGCTTCAGCGTGTTTCCTAGCTTTTAATCGTAAGTCAGCAATGCTGGAGTTCTTATGTGCCACCGCCAGTGCGGCCAACTCTAAGGGGTACTGGGGGCACAGTATACTGGGCGTATTTCCTACAGCTACAGCAGCGGCGTACTAAGAACAAAATTATGCATTTTCTTTTTATACAAGTTTCTGTTTGTTACCTGATGTGCTGCAGAAATGAAAGCTGAATTGATAGCTGAAAAAGCCGTCCCTTGTTGAGAAAACGATGCCGACGACAGTCTGTCATAGTTTGGTAAAGCCACCGAACCAGGGGTAATGGCTAAACCCCTCAATGCTGGAACGTTCATGTAAGGGATCACTCGACAAGGTTCCAATGGCGTACTTGAGGGCGGGCTCTGGTTGTTCATCATGATACCTGTCAATTTAGAGGATGCTGTAGAAGAGATTTAAAAGAACAAATCAATTTTGAAAACTTTTACAAATACTACAATAACAGGGCGGTTATCTGAAGAGTAACAATGAAGAGAAGCATAAACATGCCTTTTTCTTAGAAAAAAAACCTTCTTATAGTTCATTAATTTCAACAATTCTGTACATTTAAGTATGAGACAATTCAAAATAACAATTATTGTGACACTTTGTTTGGTTGAACAACCCTGTATAGCATTCACAAATACCTAGTTTCCGCTGATCGGACGTCGCGATGGGAAAAAGTTATTTGTAATGGGCGGCAAGTCCCAGCCCCGGGATAACATACACATCTCGGAAATTGCCGAAGGAGAACAGTAACTCTAACTTAGCAGGGATAGCACATTAAATTATTTAGGAGAGACTGCAATTCGTGACTCGAAATCATCTTTAAAGCAAAACTAGAACCCTCATAATTTTAGGAGCCCATGAATATGTCATGAACTGCGTTCTAAGACAGGAGGTGTTCTCTTATGTGGTTAGCCTTTGCACAGTTAGGGTGGCCTTTTGTTGCTGGGTGTCGGAGGCGGGTCTGAGTAGAAAGTCTATTTTTCACCGAATCCATAGACAATTTCTTCTGTGTGACGAAAATTGTATAGAGAGAAAAGCCCATGTAGTGTGAACCAGAAGTTCAAGCAGTTGTTTATTAATTAATTTATCAGATAATTCAGTATTAAACAATGTTTCGTTAAATAGCTTATAAAATTATTTTTTGGTGATCTAAATTATTAAAATCATTGTGCGTTTTCTGTTGAGAAATTTGTCTCTATCGATCGAGAACCTAGAGGATTGGATCTACTAAATTGGATTAAAAGTACATAGATTAGGTATAGCTTATTGGGGTATACATATATATATTTTTGTAATGGCTACTTATACAGTGTGACCCACTCAAGACCGGGCACCCTCCATAAAATCTGTGTTTATAGTCCGATTTTGATGATTTTTTTTTCAAATATAAAGTTTCAAAAAATGTACTTTAGGGCTCAATGTCATGTATTTCACAAAAAACAAGGCCTACTTAATAAAGTTTTTGTGGTGAAAAATTTGCAAAATCATATTAGCGATTTTTTTTCAAAAAATTTGATTACACCCCTACACTCGGCATCCCCCAAAACAGTTCTGTACCAAATTTCGTTTAAAAATATTAATTATTAATAATTCTGCAGTTAAATTAAATAATTCCCTATTTTTGCCAATTTAACGATGAGTTATCACGTAACCCTTGAAAAAAACAATCCACAACAATGGGTTTTATTAGCTGTCAATTCTTGCAGCGTAGAATTGAATATTAATTTAATAGCACGCAGAAAAGTGTTGTATCAAGAAATATTATTTGCATTATGGAACAATTAAATATTAGGGATAAAATTGAAATTATTCGTTTAGTGGGTGATAACTATCTTCAAGCAGGAGAAGCTGCCAGAGAATTTAACAACAGACATCCCGACAGACCTGCAGTAAGTAGAAGCACGGTTCAACGAATAAATAGAGTTTTTAATGAAACTGGTTGTGTGTCAAAATACTTACTAAAAAACAGAAGGCCGGAACATCGAATAAATAGGCGGAATGAGGAAATATTAGAATATTTTCGTAACAATCCTCGTGCAAGCATTAGAGGCGCCAGTGTTGATTTGGATATACCAAGGGAAAATATTAGGAGATGTTTGCGAACTAATAAAGTTAAACCCTTTAAACCAAAGATTTTACACACTTTGGAAAACGGAGATGATGTTAGACGATTAGAATTCTGCTTATGGGCTCAAGCAGAGTATTTAAATAATAGAAATTTCTTAAAAGAAATTTTATTTAGTGATGAGGCAACATTTAGTACAAACGGAGTAGTATCCTCTCAAAATTCGCGATTCTGGGCAGTCGAAAACCCTGAATGGGTGATCAATACAAGAAGACAGTATTCTCAGAAATTAAATGTGTGGTGTGGCATACTTGATGATAGAATCATTGGTCCATATTTTTTTGAGAGAAATTTGAATAGTCCAACGTTTTTGAATTTTCTGATTAATGACTTTTGGGATGCAATACATAATTTACCATGCCAAACCCGTTTGAATTTAAAATTTCAATTGGACGGATCACCTGTGCATAACGCGGCAGTTGTCAGGGAATGGTTAAATGAAAATTTTGAAAATAAGTGGATAGGTCGAAATAGCCCGCTAATTGGTGGCCACCGAGATCCCCGGACCTAACACCCCTTGATTTCTTTCTTTGGGGTTTCTTAAAGCAACAAGTTTACAAGTCTAGACCTCAATCTGTAGATGAATTACGTATTAGAATTACAGAGGCTTCTGCAAATATTACACCACAGCAGCTTAGGAATGTAACTGTTAATCTAAGAAAAAGATGCGACAAATGTATTGAACCGAATGGAGGGCTGGTAGAAGCAACTAGAATTATTTGAATATGTTTAACTTATTATTCGGTTATTGTGTTGCTTGTAGTATTTTTATCATTGTTTGTAATAAAACTCGTTGTCGTGGATTGTTTTTTTTCAAGGGTTACTTGATAACTCATCGTTAAATTGGCAAAAATAGGGAATTATTTAATTTAACTGCAGAATTATTAATAATTAATATTTTTAAACGAAATTTGGTACAGAACTGTTTTGGGGGATGCCGAATGTAGGGGTGTACCCAAATTTTTTGAAAAAAAATCGCTAATATGATTTTGCAAATTTTTCACCACAAAAACTTTATTAAGTAGGCCTTGTTTTTTGTGAAATTACATGACATTGAGCCCTAAAGTACATTTTTTGAAACATTATATTTGAAAAAAAAATCATCAAAATCGGACTATAAACACAGATTTTATGGAGGGTGCCCGGTCTTGAGTGGGTCACACTGTATAAATGGCCCATCGGAAATTATGGCAGTGAAGTTTTTTTCTCTCTTTTAGATTTGGGACTGAGCCCATAAATTAGGCATGGGCAGCAGTAAATAGGTGATCCCGAGCCCCCGTACAGAAATCTGCGGTACGTAATCTGATTTATATAGAGGAGCAAGCTAAAAAAATATCCGCCGCTTAGGCGAGAGTTTTCAATCAAATGGAATAATTCCCCCAGAGTGCAATTTTGCAACATTCAGTCATTCAAATGGCGAGCGCAGGATGACTGGCCGCTCCACTGGGATAACCCCAGGGACCAGTAAATTACACTTACTGACTCTCGCTTACTTCAACACTTCCAATGGCGTTTCCTTTTTTTACTTCGGCCATTAGCTTTGCCCAAAACGGATCTAGTTATGAATTTATTTAAATGCCTGCCGTTATGTTAAGATTAAAAATAAAACGCGCGCATATCTTTGGCCCGCCTTTTTTTAATTTTTGAAAACGCCCTTACAGTATCTTAAGGAGACTCTCTTGTGGATCGAACACAGGAATTGCAGAATGAAAATTTACTTACAATTATTTCTTAAACAAAGAATAAATAAAATGACACAACTCCTATTCGTTTGTTGTACCTGGGTGTACCCTTTGGTGATCTTATTGCATTCATCAAGACATTGAACTATAAGTTGACGATTTGAAATCAACTTTATGTTCTTGTTAAGTGAAGTGATTAGTCGTGTAGTTATTTAACTAATGTACCGCTCATGTGCATCGACAGATTTAGTCTCACCCCTAGGCGGGATGGGGTCTGGAACGTACGGAAATAACAGTTGCAAATTGGGGTTAAGTTTATTCATTTCAAATATGAACTAAACATGTTACCTATTCGTTTATTACTTTTTTAAGCCGCTCACTCTTGTGATTTGACGATTACTTAAAGGAATTTAGGTAATTGACAACATAGTCATTAAAAGGTTATACAGGATGAGTCTTAAATAAGTGCAAATATTTTTAGGGGTAGTATATATCGACTATCGACCTCAGAAACACGTTTATTAAGTTTTTTTCACGAAGTTTTTTTTTTAAATTTGGAATTGTTTTGATTTTTTTTTAGTTTTTAATTAAAAGACACGATTTCTTGATAATAGGACAACATAGGTAGTAGATTAAATTTACAAGAAAGAAATCCCTGAAAAAATTCAGTGTTTTTCAAAATTAAAAAAAAATATTTTTTTTTGGAAATTTTCTGATGGTGAATTAACTCGGTTATAGACTTATTTGAGAAACGGCAAAGAGAAGATATGTTTCTTTTATCGAGATCTGTCAGCCTTGAAAATATTTGCACATATTTAAGACTCACCCGATATAAGCATATTTCTTTTTATTTGTACTTACCTTTTTGTATTTGGTTCTCGTGTTTTCTGCATTTAGCTCGTCTGTTTTGAAACCAAACCTGCAAAACCAAACGTTCCGGATAAGAATGATTGGGTGGAAGTCGCATGAATGGAATAAGAGTCTGTTGCAGATCATTAGTTTCGTCTCCGGTAAAATACACGAAACACGAAGAAAGCATCGATTGGATTGATATTTGATATATCCACATGTCTAGTTTTCAAACTAGAGACCGAGTAAAGAGAACTTTTATCTTCAAGGGGCGAATTTATATTTTTGAATATTTTTTTAGATTAAATAAATATCGTAAAACAAAAAATTCATAAAAAATTTATGAATTTTAAAGATTCCATACCTTTTCGAGATGAAAATTGTCAATTTTGATTAATGTAGCTTTCGCTGGTCTAACATCCAATAACCAGTGTTAAATGCAGATAAATTTTTAACATTCATTCCGAAAATGCTTAGTTTCGGAGATACAGGGTGTAGACATGTCATTTTTATTTTGATTTTTTTCAAATAATTTCTAAAATAACGCTAATATTTGAATGAAAATTAGTGTCTGGGAGTTTTTTGACATGAGAAATTTGATTTTGATGTCAATATGATTCTTCTCTGTAGGGGGCGCCACTTACATGTATTTTAACTGTTTTGAAAAGTACCTAATAACTTTTTGTCCGTGCCAGTATAAAACTACTGAGTGAAAAAATATTCATTTCTTGGTAAAAATCGCTATCAGCAACCGTTCACAAGATATTTAGAATGGAAATAGTCAATACATGTCAAAAAAATAAACATGTTGAGTAGATGGAAAATTTTTATTTTTTTAATTTAACCATAAATTTTTCTTCGAAAAAATGATAATAAAACAGTTTCTGTTGAACTTTTGGCACAAAAACATTTCAAATTTATGGTTTCAGTCTAATTTATGTCAATGCTGACAGGTATTGATAATTTCGATTCCAAATATCTCGAGAAACATTACTCGTAGCGATTTTTACCAAGAGGTACGTAAAAAACGTCGTAAATGCAGCTTCTTAACCCAGTAGTTTTCTACAGGTATGGACGAAAAGTTATTACTCTTCAAACTAGTTAAAAAATACGTAGGTGATCCCCTGCACAAGTAGGAGTCATATTGACGTCAAAATTAAATTTATCATGTCAAGAAATTCCCAGACACCAATTTTCATCCAAATAATGACGTTACTTCAGAAATTATTTGGAAAAAATCGAAATAAAAATGAAACTTCTACACCCTGTATCTCCAAAACTAAGCATTTTAGGACATATCTACTATAACTTTATTTATACAAAATTTTTTGCTTATTTTTATCTGCAGGCTGCCGAAGTTTCCGGAATGCAGTTGGGACCACCCTGTATAATAATTAATTGTAATTTGTAGTTCTAGAAATATTTATTGAATGTAGTAAACGTAGGTATATATAATTTTTGTTCCCTTATACCTACTACAGTTTTTTGACCGAAATGTATAAAAACCCATTCATAACGAAATTACACTTTAAAAGTATAGATTAAGCACGAATTAACTTTACTTACTTAAACTTTCATTTCACTTGCAATTTAACAAGAACGCGGTTAAACACGATCAAAGTGTAATAATCCATTTAACTTGAGAGTCTCTTGTGTGCAAAAGGCCTGGCGAAATAAAGTGTACCCAACAGGGAAAAAGAGAGCGAATTTTGTTCTAGTGCACACGTCATACACTTAGACTATAGTGCCTCTATTAGCTGATAATTTCCTAATGAATACGTACGACGTGTAGGGAATGGAAAATCCGGCAAGTAGCACCGATTAAGTGGTGGATTAACGGCATTAGGGAGACATTAAGCGTGATTGATATCGAAAACCATTCAAGTGAACCAAATGGTTGCTGCCGGACACTTACAGCCCTCGCAAACCACTTAATAAATTGATACTAACAACGCGTTTCATGCGCGATTTAGTATGCACCAGTAGGGACGAAATCTTTCAGAATAAAATACATTTACATTCATATACATAAAATATATTATTTATTTTCCTGACCGTGTGTAACTGTATACAATTCCTTTAGCTGGTTTTAAAACCTGTGATTCTCAAAAACGGTCTAAATCAAGGATTCTGAGAATATAGTTTCTTACAAAACCTAGGCACTCCAGGCAATACTTAAGTGATAAAATTAATTAATTGTGAATTGATGTCATTTTATTCTTACAGTTAATCATGCTATAATAGGGGAGGGGGGGCTATATTGAACCCGCACTTAAATTGAACCGATCCTCTATTTCATGTCTATGACTGAAAAATAAAATAAACTAGCGTGTACCAGCAACTTCGTTCGCGTCGAATTAATCATTTGTAATGGTGATGATAAAGCAAAGCAAGAATTTCCATTAACATACAAACTGGATAAAATTTTTTCACATTTATGTCAGCATGAGAAAAAACAATATGGCGATATTATTATATAACTTGGTAATATTTGAGGGGTAGTTTCATCTCGCTGGAATTTGACTTTCGAAAAATCCGTTTGCCAAAAATAAGCTTTTTACGTCAAGCAGTTTAAGCAGAATCGTGGTTAAGAAATTACCCAACTTTTTGGAACATATGATGAACCTGTATGATTTTTAAAAAAATTTCAAAATATGTAAAAAAAAACAAAAAAATTATGCTTGTCCAAGCATTTTCCCGAAAGACTAACCGTTTTTTAAATAACAAATATTGTAATATTTGAGGGGCGTTTTCACCCTCTTGGAATTTGAGATTCGAGAAGCCCCTCCTTATCGAACCTCTACACCCCACAGTCAATCCGTTTGCCAAAAATCAGCTTTAAACGTCAAGCAGTTTAAGCAGAATCATGATTACTCAACTTACACAACTTGATGTAGTATTTTTGCACTATACACTAAGACGTAATTTGTGAAAAGATAAGTTTAAATAAATAATGTTAAGTGTGTGTTTAAATCATATTGTTATGTTATAATAATATGATTCTTAATAAGAAAATTAATATTAACATTTAAAAAGAGGTACTTAAATTGAATTCTATTTGTCTTGACTTGGGGGTAATTATATTGATTTAAGTCATTTTACTGACTTAACTTGCAGATCATGATTTAAGACAAAAATATAGACTTAAGTCATAAAAACGACTTAAATAACGTTATATTGATTTAAGTCTTTACTAAAATGACTTAAGTCAAAGACTTAAGACTTCTAAATCATTTGAACTTTATGTTCAATTTGACTCAAGACTTAAATCATTTTGATTTTAGAAGGGACTTAAGACTTAAGTCTTTTTAAAACTCACTTGTTGCAGATCTGATACCTATATTATGTTAATAAAATAAATATTTATTTTTACCTGAACTCTTGCTTCACTTAATCCAAGCCTCTGACTTAGTTCTTCTCTCATGAAAGCATCTGGATAATGCGTCTCGTCGAACAGTCTTTCCAATTCGTTCAGTTGTTCCAAAGTGAAATTCGTTCTTGATCTTCTTTGTTTAGTGGTCGCTTTTGATGAGTTTAGAAGAGGCGATGGATGTCTTGTCATAGACTGCACATCATCTAGGTGTGAGTCTTCTCTAGAGTCTATGATATCTGAAGAGTAATATTAAAATAATTTGTATGTCATTTGAACACTAAAAACTAGTTTTATTTGTCGCTTTTTCTGGAGAGTAATTTACTAGATATTCTCTACAACTGAATCTGGCCTGATAAAATGGTATCAAATTCAGTAATTCTTTTACAGCCTAAGTAGTGTTAAAAGCCCGGTATAAACACATATAACGTTTTACCTCTGAAAAACTAATGGTACAATTTAAGACAATTATAATTGTATTTTCACACCACAGATACTTGCATAAAAAATCAAAATAATTGTCAAAGAAAGAAAAAAACTTTTGCCGTATTGTGCTTTTTTTAATTTACGAATTAGGGAAATTGAACAGAGAGTTGATTGCAAAACTATTATTGACCTATGCAATTTCAGTTCACTCGTTTGATTATCAGAAAATTAGTTGGCACTGGCAACGGGAATACAAGCACGGCACGGTCAGGAAAATCAATGTGACAGAAATCAATGATAATCTAATAAAAGCCACACAATGAAAGCTTGTTATTGGTGCAGCGCGATGAAATAGAGGTTTCTCCTAACAAAATTGAAAACAAAACAACGGAAAAAGGCAGAATCGAATCTACGTTACGTTTCCGATCACTTTAGTTAGAAAAAAAATCGCTAAAACGCCCAGTTAGCGATTTAAATGATACTCCTGATATAGAGATGTGGAGGCTCCACCCCCTATAGCTTCTATCTTTGTTTTCTGCCTTGTTCCTTTCATGATTCTAAAACTGGCAGTGCAATGTTTTTTCTACCAGAAACTGGTGCACTTACTAGGTTTTGTTTCTTCAATCAACGGTTATAGTGGATTCGCGTCTTATTTACTGGAATCGCGTCTTATTTACTAAAAAAAAAATATTAAAACTTGCCTTTTCTCATTTGATTTATTGGCGTATCAAAGAGAACCTGCTATTTCTGGATTCCTTGCTTAATAATCTGCATTGAAGGCACCCATTAAAAAAGCTTAATTGATACAAGTGTATTTTAACTAGAGCCTTGAGCAAGGCTATTTGTAATAATCTCGGTTATAATATGCAGCTGATTTGTGGTTAGAAGAAGCAGTTGTTCAAATCTTTTTTTTGCACGAATGGCCAATACATTCTTAGAGAGGGCTAATTTTTTCGGCCACTTCTGAAGTGACACTTCTTCATTCCGCTTCAAAACGGAACGTGAAGTTTCGCAAAGCGTATCATAAGGGTCATAATAAGACGTTCGGAGACACCAATAGGTACTTCTGTTAATTTGGTGGCGATTTCGTTTTTGATTGCAATGCCTACTCCATGAATTCTCCTGTGTGTTGCGGGGTGACCTTTCCAAAAGAAGGTGTAATGCTCCTCATTGAGACTACCCTCATCCGCGAAGCGGGTTTCGCTAAGAGCGGCAACATCTATATTTAGTCGGTGGAGATCCTGAGAGACCAGTGCTGTTCTTCTCTCTGGTCGATTTGAATTTATCTTGTCCAGTAGAGTGCGGACGTTCCACGCCGCAAACGTGAAACATTGATGTTTTTTGTTTCCCCGATGATACGCTCGAGTAGTTTCCCCTCCCCGAGATCCGATTGAGGGGGTATTTTACTTCCGGATGATGATTTTGTCCCACTCGAATGTTCCATCATTGATGTGTGTTAGCTGCGTGAAAAGGTTTAACTGTAACGGTTACACTGCCGCACAGTTTTGGCTGCAACTGTAGCACGATATGACTATGGCACAGTGAGGACCGCGACAATAGTTCCCTTGTGCTACGTTCTCGGCCAGCTAGGAGTAGTTTACTACTCCTCTTCCCCAGAAAGATGGTAGGTCTGAGGACTGTATAAGGTTATACCTCCTATACTCGGACGTCAGAGCCTCGTTTGTGTAAACAGGGTGCACCGCGTGAAGGTGAGGTTGACTTTTAGGTAAGCTAGGTTATATGTATCGCTTCACTACCCCTTGCACCCCTACATATAATAAAATAATGCAGTTTATGTAGAATTCTATAAAAAACACAAAAATGGTAATGAAATAGGGGTTGCTATTTAAAATTTTAGGGGTAGGTGCCCTGGGGGTCAAGGGGTTGAAAGTAACACGACAACAAATGCCTCAAAAATTGTCCCCCTTGGTATGTAAATTGACGTGTTTCGCCAAATTTTCATACTATCACAGGTAGAGGCAATATTAAATACAGTTCGTTTTCAAATTGTCACCTTGTATGATTGAAAAAAAACGGCGTCAGCGATGGCTATGAAATGAAGATGTCATTTTATATGTAAGTTTATATGGGAAATGTCATGGATCGCCATTTCCCAGCCGACTGGAGGCCGTTTTTGATCATCATACAGTAGAGATGAGCAGAAAATCGCAAACTGCGATTTAATCGCAGCGATTGTAAATTCGCAATCGCAACCTGTGATTCCTTTCCATAGTAAACTGCGACTTGCGATTGAAACATATATCTGCCGATTTTGGATTTTTAGGCAACCAATATTACATCAGTTGCGATTTGCAATCGCAGTGGGCACGCGAACGAAGAGCTGCGAACGAAAATCACAGCATTGCGATTTTCGTTCGCACCAAGCGCGGCGTTGCATCGACACGGCATCGGCACTGAGAAGCCGAACGATGAGCTGCGAACGAAAATCGCAATATTGCGATTTCTCGTACGCCCCGGCCGGCGGCGGCGCGTCTTCAACACGGTAGTGGACAGGCGAACGAGGAGCTGAACGAAAATCGCAGCTCATCCCAGCATTGCGATTGCGATTTTCGTTGGCACCGGCGCGGCATCGGGAGTGGGCACGCCAACGAAGAGCGGCGATTGCGATTTTCGTTCGCAGCTCCCAACACATCGGCCTAGACTAGATCGCAAAATCACATTCGCAATCAGGGCCCCGTAATTTTTATGAAGCGTTGGAAAATAGGCTTATATATGTTTATATACCGCATAATATATATTAGTTTTAAATTTAAAATTTATTAGTTTTAAATTTTGATAATAGATTTTAGATTTATAATATAATTATGGATTGAGAAGGTTAAAAATTCTTGTTTTCGGTTATGACTAGTTATAGTTACAGTTGCTCCCAGGTAATGATTCAGGTAAAATGATTCATAAAGACAGTTTTGGATTCAAATTATAAAAATTATCTATTTTTATCCTTTATTTACTAGAAGATATAGAGCACGGAAAAGAAACAGCCCTTTTTATTTATTATATTTTGTTATATATTATATTATTATAAACATTTTTATAACAATCCATAATATAATATAATTTTCTGAATATACTAACAGTTGTGGATCGGCTGCTATGTTAATTTTAAATACATCCTTACAATCAGTTTTTTTCTATTTTAGAGAAATTTTAAATATAATAAAATGTGATATTGTCCTTTACTTATCTAAAAGTTCGAAAGTTTGCACTCGGCTTCTTTTGAGTTACATATAAAGAAAATGATTTTAAAAAACAAGATAAAATAAACAGTTTTTTTCTAGTTATCTGAATTAAGGTTGGCGGCAACCTTTTTATAATAAATTTTTCGTTAGTATACCTACTGTCTAAAAAAAGCACATTCGAATATTTTGAACATTTTATGTATTTTTAATTTCCCTTTTAAATTTATTCGGTCTGTTCTAATCAAAATGTTTAAAAAGGGAAACTAAGTTATTTGTGGATTTTTTTGGTAGGTAGGTAATTGATGAAAATTTTAAGTGCAATATGTGTGCAGCAAAAATATCATAAAAAACACGCACTACAAATTTTAAAAGGCACATGGCATCGAAACACCCAACAGTTTCTTTGTAAGTTTTTATTAAAAAAAAATTATTCCGCTATTTATTCTGTTTTTTATTAGAAATTTTGGGATTGAGCTTCCCAGATTACAGCGTACCAATTTGAAAATATCAAAATCGCAATCGCAGTTTCAACTGCGATTGGAAAATCGCAGTTTTGCTCATCTCTATCATACAGTACTATTGCCCTTCTAAATTATGTAACTCTATTGAAGCTGCAAATCTTCTCTTTCTGATATACATGATATTATTTGACTACACCCTTGACTTGCTATTAAAGGAATGACATTCACAGAGTGAAAGTGTAGGTTTAATCACACTCTTGGAGGCAATAGTTCAGAAGTGTGATTCCAGGAATGCGCGCCATGGATGAAGGAAATATGAAATAGGAAATATTGTATATGAAGCGGACCCTTTAACATAGTTTCGCCCATAGATTAAAATAAATTTAAGTCTATGGTTTCGCCTGTATTTTATTATCCAGTGTGCTTTAAACAAAGAATAGCTAAATATTTTTTGGTCTCAGTTTTCGTAGCTCACCCTCTTGTGGCAACTTCCTCAGCTTACTCGATCCTAATACTCTACATAAAATTGTTTTTTATTGAACTAATTCTTTGGAAAGCATCATCACGCACCACTCTGCAAGGGGGGAAAAAGAAAAACCTATATGCACTTCAGTCAATTACTTTAACGAATCGTTCGGAGATTTCCAGCCGGTAGAGATTGAGCCAGGCGGCATATTTTGTAACTTCATTAAACTAATAGAATTAAATTAATCTGAACGCCATCCTGCAACTTTACAGCCCTTGAAGGGCGGGGAGCGTTAAATTCGGCTGTTCGGTGCGTTAATACCTCCCAAGGGACGTAGTTGCCCTTCCATCGCCGATTTAAGTTGCACCTATCAAATCAATTTGCCGATTATGTCTGAGCGTTTTGGGTTTTTGTGTATTGCTGTTCACCATTACATCGTATACCTATATCCTTTTCAAGTCATATCTTTTTCAAAAATTCATTAGTCATATCCTTTTCAAAAAGTCTAATAATTTTCATATCCTTCATTCGTCATATCGTTTTCAAAAAGTCTAATAATTTTCATATCCTTCATCCGTCATATCCTTTTCAAAAGTCTAATAACTTAGCGACTTAACCTTCGATATAGTATCCTCCTCCTGTTCCGGTACCTAGGCTAATGTAACATTGCAACGTTCTCGCTTTTGATCAACTATGTACCGGTAAAAGACACCTTCAAAAGTTATTCTTACCGTTTAAGTATAGCTGATTTATTTTAATAAACAATGTTTAACTGGATTTTGATATTTCTTCTTACACTCGCTTACAATCTGAATCACATAATATTGTTTTTCATCTTCACTTCTAGATAAATATTAATGTATCCTCTGACAATTTAACAGCTTTCTACAGTATCATTAACTATATACTTTCAAATTTTTTACAATTTCTAAGCCTCTCATATATGCAGGATCCTTTAACCATTCCGTACTGTCTAACTGCAGAAAACTTGTTCAATATTAAACCGTGTAAAAAATTGTAACCAATTTGAATTTATGAAATAACCATAGTGTTAACAATATGTTTTTGCTTATAAACCATTTAAAATCATCCTGATTAAAAATGAAGCGTTTGGAAATATCTCTTCGTTTGTAATAGATTAAATTTTTCAAAAATAATCATAATTTTGTCAAAAAAGTTGAAGAATTTAGGAATTTACCCAGTGGTTAACTGAAACTAATATACTTTTTAATAACTTTTGAAGGAGTAGGTTTATCGGAAAATTGTTAGAGACCTTTTTTGTACAGCGTTCAATTCTGTACAAGAATATGTGATTGTCATGGATGCGAGAGGACAAGATCGAGAGAAAAAAAAAATTGTAAAAAGGAGCAAATTCCCATGTAATTTAAATAGGAAATGAATCGTGTTTGGGGCAAGGTTTAATGTGAATATCAAGGGTTTACAATGATCTGTTATTGTTTTTGGACAATAAAATAAAAATTTAGGGGGCGTCGTGAGAGAAATGATCAACTTTGTAAATAACAGACACTATTATATACGTACAAATATCTACAACATTAATTGATCGAAGTGAAACTTGTTTACGCGCGATGGGACTAAAAATTGAAGGCCGTGACACCCGAGACGCGAGAGGAAAAGTGGTAACGATCTTGGAGCGTCGTAACTCGGGCCCAATGTGAGCTAGGGGGCTGAAACATGGCATGCATCTTTCTTATTTTTTTATTGAAAATGAAGGGATTTTAATAACGATTTTGTTGAGACCGAATAAGAAAAGAGTGGCGAGCAATAAAATGAATTTTGGCTTATTCCCTGAAAGCCGAATGCTGCTAGGCAATTAAGCATAAAAAACTCCATCTCCGCGCAAATTACATAGCAAGCCTCCCCCAAGATTTTTAAGGCACCTTGGGAATTGCCGGCGACGAATTTGTCTCCTTGTAATTAATTGCGTTTTCGTAATTAAAGTGCCCTAAAATTTCTAAATGCTGTTATCTGGGGCCAAGGCAGTGCCTCGCCAATTCGAGCACAGCCGTACAATCTTTTTCTCGAAGGTATTAGCGGCATTTTTGACCATTCTGTAATTTCGTTGTGGATAAAGCAAGAATATTAATTTTCACTAAACATGAGGACATACCATAGCTGGCTGGATTACCAAAATATCTAGTAAGTACCTCGTATGAATTATTGCTTGTCAAATTTCTTTAATTTCAACATTGACTCACTGACAAATCATCAAAATTCTAAGGTACTTCTAGATATGTCACAAACTTCAAATTACGAATTTTATGTAGCTTTTAAGCTTATAAACAAAGGAAAAAATGAAAAATCTTGAAATATCCTTATGCTTTAAATGTTAGCTGTCAAGCCGCTACCGGTTACTGACTTTCCAGTGGGGAAAACCGTAGAAAACTAAAATTAATCTAAGCGGTCGGTAAATTGAAATTTCGGATTATGATTTTTTTCATACTTCTTTAACTTCTCCAGCGACTCACTCACCGTCATCAAAATTCGGGTATTTCTAGAAGAGTTACAAACTTCAAATTTTGAATTTTAGGTATATAGCATTAAGCTTATAATATGTAAAAGAACAAAATGAAAAATCGCGAAATATCCTTGTGGATCAAAAGTTAGCTGTTTAGCCGCTACCGGTAACCGACTTTCCGGCGATGGTAATAGGAGGACCGGTGATAGGGTTGTTTTAGAACTGCATTGCGAGCCTTTGCATTTTTTATATCGCGTTTAGATTATTTAATCTTTCCTGTAAACAAAATATTATATCAACAAAAAAAATCGAAATAATAAGAATCTGAACCCGTGTGGCCAAACCATAGTGACAACACTGCTTCTAAAAGTTTTGCAAATGAGAAATAATTAGTTAATTGCCTCTTATGGAAAAGGTTTTCCTTATTTTAATCCTACCCTTTAAGGCACAGGTTATATAAAGCATTATTTGCTAAGGATTAATAAATATTCAACTTGTCTTTAATTTGCTTGATGACGTCTTGTTTTATTTTCGTTTTCTTTTAAAGGCATTCTGTGTTTCTCTACAGAAACACAGAAAGCAAAACGTAGGCATCCCAAATCTCATTCAAATCGGATTAACGGTTCTTAAAATATCTTAAAAAATGTGTTTATTTTTTTAAAGTGTTATGCCCTCTACCGTAGCGGACAAACGAAGCACTTTTGTATAGAGGTAAATTGCGTCCAATGAACATATACATATATTTGATTCCAAAAATATGTAGTAGTTCTATGTCCACGGAATATTGGGACCAGGCCCGTTCCTGGCGTATCTGGCGCCTACGTGCAGCATTCTTTGGTGCGCCCTTTTTATATTTAAATCAATTAAATATTTTAATCTTAATCTCAAAAATTTAAAGAATTTATATTCTGCGACAAACGAGCAATATGTAATTGGAAATGTGAAAAAAAACTATTCCAATTAAAGTATAAAAACATTTATTAAATAAATAAAACAAACAAAACCACAAGCATTTAGTAACAAAAATAGTACCCTAAAGAAAAAAACTGACCCATTTTATATGAAATCATAAAAACAATAAACTAAAATTCGGAAATAATACACATGTACTGATTTCTTTCGAAAATCGACAAATGAAACTATGATCCCTTCCCCGACACAAACGGTACATTGTGAGACAGGAAATTGTAGAGAGAAACAAGCCCTATAACATAGGATACAACATTTTAATGAACAGTGCTTTCCATAAAATCAATAAAATGAAAAATATACGAAATAATATACATGAACTGATTTCTTTCGAAAATCGACAACTATGAAACTATGATCCCTTCCCCGACACAAACGGTACATTGTTAGACAGGAAATCGTAGAGAGAAACAAGCCCTATAACATAGGATACAACATTTCAATAAACAGTGCTTTCCATAAAATGAATAAAATGAAAAATAAATAGATGAGATCAATGTGTTGCCGACAGATTGCACTAGACTTGTTTATTCGGTGCGGCCAACGCAAAAAAGACGCTAAGCAAACTTTATCCTATGATGGTTTAAGTATTTGTTTATTGGCAAGAAAGCGTATCGGTTTTTTGTTACAAAGTACTGATTGACCCTTTGATTTTGCGCCCCCAAAATGTTGCGCCTACGTGCGTGCACGCACTGCACGCTCGCCAGGAACGGCCCTGATTGGGACACCCTGTATATGAAATTCATCAAAACTAAGAACTGTACGGTGCTGAGTGGGTGCGAACCCCCTCACAACAAATCATGATGAAAATATATGCGGTCAAACTATTTGACAGGGATTTATTCTATGACAAGGATTTCCACGCAAAATTGAATTAAATATGCTTTTGATGCAATTAAATTTTAATTTATTTTGTCCCCTTAGGTTGAAAATGGAGGGAGTTTTTGGACAGAGCATGTTAGAAATTAATCTTTCGCCAAGGGGATGAAATTGTAATTGGTGGTGGTTAGAGCAAGTCGGCATTTATAATTTTAATCGGTTGTTAAAACGGATACTATCGCTTGATAACTCTTTGTTTTGCGACTTATATAGCAGCCGTAAATCAAATTATTAACATTTATTGTTTGTAGAATAGACTGTTAATTGTTATTTCCAATTATAGTGTTAAAAGGGTTAGAGCATACACATTTTGTAGTTAAAAAACATGATTTACTGATGAAAATTGGCTACACATAATATAGAAGATTAAACTAAATAATTTCGCACAATTTCGTATAATTTTTTCGGGTCTACTCTTTAAGATCTAATTCTAGATAAAAAATTGTGTTTCGTATAACAATCTATATAAATGTATAGACATAGTTTAAAAACATATATATTTTTATATACAGGGTGGTCCGAATTGTGTTCGGGAAACTTCGGCAGTATATTATATCGATAAAAAAAAGTAAAAAAGTCTGTATAAATTTATGCCCTAAAATGCTTACTTATGCCCTAAAAAAATCGAAATAAAAGTGAAATTTCTACACGCTGTTTCTCCGAAACGAAGCATTTTAGAACATAAATTACGAATACAATTGGGACCACCCTGTATATTATTTGGAATAATTTCTTGATTGTAACGAATATAAAATGTTAATAAAATTAAGAAATTCTTCCTAATAATATGCAGGGTGGTCCGAAATGTATTCAGGAAACTTCGACAGCATATTCTACAGATAATAATTATAAAAATAGATAATTACGAAAGAATGACATGATGTTATAATTTATGAAAATGATTATAGATTTTTCTTTTTTTCTTGATTTCCAAAATTCTTTCTTTTTTAAGAACAACTTAAAAAAATGTTTCTATAGAAACTGTCAAAAAATTTATTGAAATGAAGAATATACTGTATATTAAACTCTTTAATTCGGAAATCTGTCATGAAATTTAAAAGATTTGATTGTACCTAGTTTTTTTTTTAACTAATTTCAAACAAATATAAATACATAGTTTTTAGAGCTTCATTGATTCTGCATTTTAGAGAAACATTTTCATGTAAACTAATGAAATAAATTGTATTAAAAATATTCTTGTTTAAATTTTTATCGAATATACTTATCTTGTTTTTCCATTGTTTGGAAGCATATTTATTCATTTTTACCACCCAAACGTTAAATAGGTGAGAAATTACTGCTGTACTGATGTCTGTCGTCGAGAAACTCTTAAATTACACATTTTTCGCGTTCTTTTGCAATAGTTAATAAAAAGCGAGCATACAATCGACTGTTAAGGCTATTCTAACAGTTTTCGTCGCCTTATTCAATGAATCATGGGTCATTGTGAAAAAGTGCAATCAGAAAATTGCATATTTTCAATTAACATTGTGTACTTTATCGGTTATAGGTTCTCGCATATTATGCCGGAAAAAATATAAGCCGAATAATGGCTATATAAGAAATTTCGATTTTCAATATGAAATAATAATTTATTATTGTGACTTATTTTCTCTCTATTTTTCCATTTCTAGTAATTTTGTATTTAGTGTTTAGTTTAACAGAGTAAACGTTTATTTAGCACAAATATAGATATTTGTAAATAAGATTATTGTTGACCAGTATTAAAACGTAAATCGGGATTTTAAATGAAGCCAAAAAAAGACCTGCCACCAAAAATAAATAAAAATATGTCAAATATTTGATTTATTAAATACTTTTTCAGTTTGCATTTTTGATAAAAAGAATAAGTCTGTGTCTATTGAGATGCGTTTCCATCAAAAATAAAACGGCGTCAGAGATGACTTGGAAACAAAGATCGCTATCATTTTGTATGTAAAACTTTATTGGAAATGTGATCGATCGTCATTTCCAAGCCCACTGGGCACCGTTTTTTTCGATCGTACGGTATAATATAATATGTATTGAAGGATTTTACAGAATTCTATGTCAATTTTTGTAGTTGAACCATTCTGTTTTTTCGTTTAATAGCCATCAGGATTTGAGATATGGATATATATTAGGATAAGATCGTGTACCTAGGAATAATTTTAAAATCACGTAATTTTTCCCTGTCATGGAAATGATGGAAAAAACGGTTTATCTCACTTACAAACTTTGCTCTCGTTGTCATCATCACAAGTAATATCTTCATTGCTGTCTTCTTTCTTCCCACAAGCTATAGTATCTGGGCACGATTTAGAGTCATCCAAATCGTCGGATTTGGTATCGCTACTAAACGTTATTGGTCCTGAATGCGATGCAGCTGCAGGTTCCTGCTTTTGGTCCTCGTTCGGATACAGACGCAAGTCGATGCACCCCTGCGGCGTTCTTGGACTCATCTCGATATCCGGAATGAGCCAGTTTTTTGGTTTTTTTGCCGCCTGCTCTTCGGAAAACTCCTTTTCGGACTTGACACTGGGCGAAGAGCCGCTATTCTTCACCTCAAAACTCAAATTTAAGCACTGCTCTCCGGCGTTATTGTTATTATTCTCGAATGATTTCGACACAAACAGTGTTAATTTGTCCATGATTATAACGATTATATAAAACTACTTTTAGAAGGATCATGTGAAACTGAATAACCATTTGGAGTCGGGGTGGTTTCCATGGATACTCTGGGGGTTGCGGTTTCGGCAGACTCCACCCTTAATTAAGGGTTGCTTTCCTGCCATTGGACGGCTAGGGATGAGGGTGGGCTTGCGAGCTATCACTTCGGTCTGTTGAGAAATTTTCTTCTTATATTTATGGCAAGTCAATAGCTTACTGTGTAAGTAGCTGACATTTTTTACCACTTGTTTTCCCAACTTAGTATAATTATGTAGATTTACGGTTATGATTGTCGGCAATATAAAAGACGAGGGATATTGCTCAGAGCTATATATACTGTGTATATGAGAGACTAAATAAATTTCTTATATCTTTACGGTTTTATGCAAATTAAGATGGTCCTTGCGGTTTGTCTTATGCAAATATGGCGCTACCCTTTAAATTTCGCTTTTAAAAACGATTTTATTGGATTTTTTCTCCTATAAAATTAAAATTTCTAAAATTTTTAAAACTTACAAAGGAACTAAATTAAAAAACAACAGTAAAATAAAAAGATTGTCGTCTTTTTACATTCAAAAAAAAATAAAATTACATAATGTCAAAAAATTATATTTTCATATAACACAAACTTCTTTAGAGTGCGCTAAACATTTGAGACGTTATCACAAATTTTCACCCCTAATTTTATCCTCTTGGGGATCAATTTCCAAAAATCGCTTCTGAGTACTCACCTTCGTCACTTAAGACCTCTCTTAAAATTTCATTCTCCTAGGACTGATTTTAAAGAAAAAAAAATACTAACTCCTCAACCTACAGTTTCACCCCCTTAGGGGATGAATTTCCGAAAACTGTTCAATTACACCACTTAAGGGACCTCTGCAAAATTTGATACTCGTTAGACATATTTTTTTATTTTTGACAAAATAACATTCGCCCCTCATTTCACTCCTCTTAGGGGGCGAATTTCTAGAAAATACTTACAGCTTTACAGTGGTCAATCACATCACTTCTGTGCAAAATTTCATACTCCTAGAACAGATTTTAACAAATTTTTATTCAACATAGCGATTAAAATTGGGGATGAAAGCCTAATTTCACCAGCTTAGAGGCTGAATTTCCAAAAATCGCTTCTTAGTGCTCACTTATGTCACAAACTACCTATCTTATGTCACTCAAGGAACCTATGTACCAAATTTATATAGTTTTTTTATTTGCAGTATTATGTTTTTGTATATTCAATAAATTTCAAGGAACATAATTTTTGGCGTTTTTTTTAAATTAGTTTAATTAGTAATGCTATGTTTTGAAGGAATGCTAATTTTAGGAGATTTTAGAATTTTATTTTAAATATATTAACTGAGTGTATATTAACATCAGGTATAACAATTGTTATACAAATAAATACGAAAAAATAATTTACAAAATACTAAAAATATATTATTTATAAATTTCCTTAATGATTACAGTTGAGGGTTGGAACCTTTGGTGTTACACATCAGCAAAATAAAAACACTAAATCACCACAATACACCAAAACACTTTTACTTTTACACTGGACGCGCGTTTCGCTAACCATGTTAGCATCATCAGTAGATGATTATAAAAAAAAATAGAAACTATAACTTTTAGTTACTTTATAAACATCTGCTGATGATGCTAATAACATGGTTAGCGAAACGCGCGTCCAGTGTAAAAGTAAAAGTGTTTTGGTGTATTGCGGTGATTTAGTGTTTTTATTTTGTTCCTTAATGAACTAAAAATACCGAATTTTCTTTTTGTAATTTTAGTCGAGTTTCTACGAATTACTGTCAGTTTTGATTTCTGTGTTATTTTTATTACTGTATTCTTATTCAAAATTAATTATTTGGTTTAGAAAAAAAAACTTTTTTAATCCAGCCTATTACTATTTATTTTTCTAGGCACTAGATATGTGGATATTTTTAGATAACCCTCGTATATAAAAAACTGTTTACAGTGGAAAACGATCGATTCCCATATTATTATTTTAGACAAGGAAGGAGGGCATTTCCTTGTCAAGGATTATTATCAATGACTACAGAATACATTTTATTTGCAGCTTTCTAAAATCATTGTGTAAAAGAAGGGGTAAAAGCCTTGTTAGTTCTGGGAGTTTACTGATAGATGGCTACGAGAATTGCATCGCGGGTCTTTCAAAAAATTGAATTTCTATTCTAATTAAGTGGGACAATCACAAGAGCGGTAAACTTATTAGGTTGATAATTCTAATGTTCTTGCGATTGTTCCACTTAATTATAAATTCCAATTTTTGAAAGACCCGCGATGCAATTCTCGTGGTCATCTATCCGTTAACTGTTAGAACTAACTCACGCTGAATAACTAGTTATATAAACAAGGGTAAAGTTAGTAGGTTCAGTTAGTTATTCTATGGGTAAAAGCTTGGGTAAAAAGTAAAGCTTCTATGAGTAAAGCCTTGTTTATATATTAATAAAATATATAACATATTATCAATAATACTATTCTTATTTATAATTATGGTAAAACGATCGATTCCTATATTATCTCTTAGACAATGAGATCTTAGAGAAGGAGTGAGAATATGGCTCAATAAAACATAAAAATTTTAGTACCTTTTATTTGGAAAAAATATATAATATATAAAAAAATATAAAAAATATGGAGCACAGAAGTATAACCTGTACCTATACCTAACATCAATGACTAAAGATTAGTCAGTCATTGCCTAACATTCTCATATCCTTGTTTATATATTGTAACTAGTTATTCGGTGTGAGTTCATTCTGGGAGTTCACTGATAGATGGCTACGAGAATTGCATCGGGTCTCTCAAAAATTTGAATTTCTAATTAGTGGGATAATCGCAAGAACGGTATAAACTTATTAGGTTAATAATTCTCGTTAGTTAATAAGTTTACCATTCTTGCGATTGTCCACTTAACTGGAAATTCAAATTTTCGAAAGCCGCATTATAATAAGACACATTATCCCAGAATTAACTCTAGCTGAATAACAAGTTAATATATAAACATGGCTATACATACACAACACAGTCATTATAGATTTGTCATTGAGGTACATCCATTTTGCTCCAAATATTCCATGAGTAATTTGTGGACGGATTCAGTATTGCAATATATGTATATATAGACTCCCGCTGGCAAGGTTTATGTTTGAGTCGAGACGTTCTTGGGTCAAAATTTCCGTATGTAAGAAGAGTACAATGCGTTAATTATTCGACGAAATCATCAGGAATTTCCTTAATTATGGGTCGATTGGAACCAAACTCGGCATGTGGAAAGAGGAACCCGAATGGAGTCCTCAGACGGACACACAGACCGACGAAAGTAAGAAGAAGTTTCACTTCAAATATCGCATTTTTCGCACTCCAACTCCAACTTAATAAGATCCCTAAGCGATTCACTTCCACACATGTAAGTATCGACCCAAAAGTAAGACTTGCCAGCACGGTATATTATATACTTAATCTTAATATCTTTGTGCATCACAATGTAAATTATATAAATATATGACCTAAAAGTACTATTATATACAAATATTTACTTATTTATAGTTATATCTAGTATAGGGATCTTATTGTATTAGCTATCAAAACTAAAGCTATTAATTTGATCATTGAATGGAAATGTAGCTCTACCGAACTACTTCGGAAATACTCGGGATTTCCTGCAAGCAAACTCGTTTAATTAAGATAGATGTTTTTGATTCATTAGCATACCCATTTGGAAAACTGATTCTGGAGAACTCATGCGCCCGTCACCGCCATTCGAATAAGCCAGAATCCTCATCCTGTAAGTTTTTCCTGGCGTTAGATTAGTCACATATCCTTCTAAACGACTACCAAATGGCACTATTGTATCGTTTGCGGTGCTCAAATCTTGGTCATATTCCCAGACGCGAATCTAAGACAAATGTATTGAATTAGTAATATGTTTTACAAGAATATCATCGCACCTTATAGCCTAGTAATGGTTCTTCTTCCAAGGATGGTTGAACATAACGGTAAACTACTTTTATTGTTGAGGGGTTAATGCCAAATACTCGCACAGACGAGGGCGGCTTTTGTGGGGCTTTTCTGTAAGTACGCTCTAAAAAAAAACGATTTCATTGACATGCGATATGTTAAAGTAAAGCTTGAAATCTTTACCGAGATATTTTTCACTCTCTGGGCCCTCTCCGGCTGAATTATATGCCATAACTTTGACGAAATAATAAGTATCTGGTTGTAAGCCGACAATGAGCGCCGACGGACGAGTTGTCCTTGACAGATAGTATACACTGTCACTTTCGTTTGTGTCTTTCTTCCAGTATTTTATACGATGTCCTATAAGTTTGCCTTTAACCTTCTCTCTAGTCTCGTCGATAGGATCCCAAGAAACATTCAGTGCAGTCGAATTGTACGACATGGCGACAACCAGCTGAGGCGCGACCTGCGGCATGTCTTCAGCAGAATAGACCAGAGCTTCTTCGCTAATAGGCCCTGGCCCGATTTCATTTATCGCTTGCACTTTGACTAGGTATTGAGTGTAATAATATTTCGGTTCAATTTGCACAACTGCAGTGCCAACGTTTCCAAATTCCTCAAGGACGGTACTTTGGAATTCGACTTGTTCCTTGTACCGCTTCCAAAAGACCTTGTAATGGATCCCGGGCGCGTGCTGCTGCTCTGGCCGCAGTGGCGTCCAGGTGACTGTCAGGTCCCCTATCTTCCCACCGCCGCCACCCACGTTGCTTGGGGCTATTCTAGGACGGTCTCTCAAGGTCTGGTACTTTGGACTGGGGGCGGAGTACGGACCGGCACCTAATTCATTCCAAGCGCTTACCCTGAACTCGTAAAAGGCCCACGGAGTCAAGTTCATGTCAACAACAGCTTCTTTCCTCCCTGTATATCTATCTATGTCCCTTGCCCTAACTCCTATTGCCAATACCACCCACGTGGAATTCCAGCTGGTTCTTCCACTGATTGAGTAAGTATAAATTAGCTTTCCATTTGTTGCACCATCGGTCCATTGAAGGGTGAAAGAATTTTTTTGTATAGTTATAACTTGAACTCCCCCAGGGGGTCCGGGAGGGCCTTGGACCACTACGGCGGTCCTGTAGGATATTACTCCAACAGGACTTTGTACAATGCAGTCATAATCTCCTGAATCCGAAAATGTCGAATTGTTTATTCTCAAGTATCCACCATCGACTCTCTGGAAAATAATCATTATTCAGCAAAAGTTTTGATATGATTTAAAAAATTGCAAAGTCACCAGTCTCTCATTAGAATTTTTAGTGTCTATGTCTCTAATTCTTAAGCCATTATGTGCCCAAATGTACGCTATGTCTAACATTTCATCAGTTGTGGCATAACATTGCAGGTCAATGCTTCTACCATTTATTACAGATATAGTTGGTCTAGGTGTCTCTACAATTCTTGGTCCTCCTACAATCAAATCAAGCAAAAACATATTTAAAACTTTTTTTAAATATTAATTTCTTACGTAAAACAATTAATCGTCCTTTAGACTCAGCAATTCCCAATTCGTTACTCGCGATGCAAGTGTAAACGCCTTCATCGTCCCTGGATACGGGACTCAAAAATAGATTGCCATCACTGGACATTCTTCTGTGCCCTCCTTGTCCAATTTCCATGCCATCTTTCCTCCAAACAAATGTTGGACGCGGCGCAGCCTCTGGATTACATCTTATGGTTACATTGCCACCTTCGGCTGCGTATGTTTCCGATTCCAAAGGGTGCTTCTTAAATGATGGCTTGAAAGCTAAAAATTCCAAGAGTTTGTTGGAATACTGGCGCATTCGCCATTTCCTCAAGTACGAATAAACTAACGGAAGGAAGTCGGTCGTTACCTAATACTCTTAGTTGGGCAGAGGAATATCTTGTTTTAAGGGTATTTGCTGCTTTGCATTGGTACATTCCGGGGTCCCTCTCCTCATTCAAATAGCTTATCGTTAACACATTATCCCTAACAAAAATTCTAGCTCTATCTTCTCTATCAAGTGTTAATGGAGCTGGAAAAAAGAATGATCAAACTTGACATTATTGATGCTTGTTTACACTCACATAGTAGTTTCCCATCTTTCCACCAAGTGTAGTTGACATCTGGTATACCAAAGGCTTCACATGTCCATATTAATTCTGCTTTTCTATCAATATGCTTATCTGTTAAGGGAATGGTAAAGTTTGGTTCTGCTTGAATATTTAAAACAACAGAATTTTCAATGCTTTGTTTGTCATTGTATGCTTTACAACTGTATTCGCCTTCATCTTCCACATGAACTTCAGGTATCATTAAGACCCTGTTATAACTAGTAAAGTAGGCATTTCTAGGAAAGGGGCTTCCTTTTCTTGTCCAGTTGTAACTTGGAACGGGGCTAGAAAAAAGCTAATAGTATTTTTCATATACATTTGAGGAGCAGATTTCCAAAACGCATTTTGTCCAAAATTTCAAATATTGACTTTTAGATGGCGCCATATTCTATACTCATATACGCATAATTTACCCGTTCTTGGCCTTTCTAAACGCGTTTTGTCCATGCATGTCAAAGTAACGTAACTCATTATGAATGTCCAGCGTTCTAGTCTAAAATATTGTAATCAAATATTTTGTGGATAGCATTTTTCAACTGAAAAGTATTGATTTAAAGTTGTTTTTGTTTATAAAATATGGAGTATGAACATGTTTTTTGAACGACCTTTTGAAATTCCACTCCTCGTTTCATCAACCAACTTACTATCCAAAGGCTATGCACTCTAATCTGACTTCTTTTCCTGCAATTGGTGCTTCGGGGAAAGCTTTTGGGAAATTGTTTGCAAATTTTAAAGTTTGGTAATTAGCTACAATGTTAAATTAATCGACTATAAAATTAATACTCAGCTGTATATTATATGTAGTACTCACAATGTGGATTCACCCTCAAAGGAAAAAAGGGACCATTTCTACCAGAATCAGAAAATTCTGACTGTACACTGCAACTATACTTAGCTCTGTCAATAGTTTCTAAAGCCGAAAAATAAAGTGAACCATCATAGGACACAAATACTCTTTGATCTTCTTCAACAAAATTTGGAAAGTAATCTCTTGACCAGGAATATTTAATATCTGGGAAATGATTGGGTGGATCACAGAAAATTGTTTTTCCCCAGTTCAAGTCTCCAACTTCTGGACTACGCTTTAGAATAAATTCCAAAATAAAACCAAAATTCAAACTGACACTCTCTGATATTATTGTCCCAAACTTGTTTGAGGCACGGCAGTGATATGTTGCTCTGTCTTTTCTTTGCTGGGGATCATGAATAATTAATTTACCTCCACTAACTGTGTATCTACTGTCAGTTAGTGGATCAATTCTTTTTGGAATCAACATATCATTTTCATAATCTTCTCTGTACCAATTATATGTTGGTGTTGGATAACCACCAGCTAAGCAACTGAGACTTACATCATTATATAGAGTTCTTTTAGAACCATCAAAAATTGCTTCTTTTGGTTGCTCTATAAAATAAGGTCCTCTTGGAATTCTTTCAGGGTCAGTTATTTCCGTCCCATAGGTATAGTCTCTGTCAGCAGTTCTCAGTCTTTGAACATCATTTATTGCAGATTTGCAAATAAATGATAGTGGCTCATCGCCCACTACTGGTTCTAAAATCCAGTGCATAAGTTTCTTTGAAAATTTATAAACAAGAAAATCAGTGTCAGGAGCTCCATATCTAGAGTGACTGTCGTCATCCCAGATAATAGCATTTTCCATATTAGGAAATGGACTTGCATCGGGATTGGAATAAAAGTTTGCTGAAGTTTGATGTGCTCCAATGTACCATCGACGATGTTGAGGATCAAGCCTGTTTAATTGCTGTACCAAAAAACTATGCTCATCTACACTATTCAGAGAAACCAAATCTATTGGTGTCCTTTCTGAAGCACTTGGATCACCCGAGTATGTCTAGAAATAAATCTTATAAGTAAATGATATACAATTAAATAGGTAAATTCAAAATATACTTGACACAGTCTTCTGGCTTCTGTATAAGGCCTTAATGGTGATTTGTTGAATTTATAACAGAACTGTTGAAACTGAACCCAATTGTCTGGACATCTTAAGTCGTCATTAAAATAGAAACCAGGGTAATAAGGATAATCTGAATTATACTCAGAGTCAAAATTGCTATATTCAATTGAATTTGGGTTTAAATTTTGCAAATCGGCTTGGGTTAAATAAAATAACCAAAAACATAATATGGCCAACATTTTCTCTTAACTATACTACGACCATTTATTGAAAATCTAAAAAATATATAAGCAATGGTATTGGAAAATACTAGGAAAATAGCAAACGGTATATTTACATAATGCATTACTAACATAACCTTTATGTTAGTAATGTTTCTAGCCAAAGTTCACACAAAAAAATAAATACTTCGTTTTAAATATATAGTAATTAAATTATAAAATATAATTTAAACGAACAGATATTTAAATACAAGGTATTTTTAAATACCAAAGTATAAACAAACGGTGCAGTGGGAGTGGCAACTGTGGTGGCAACTATTATCATATTTGATATAGGTTTTCAGCCATCATTTGGCAGAGTTATCCCACCAATCGTACTAATAATACTTTGTCTTGCTGACTTACCTGAAACTTATCAGTCAAAGATAAATAAATCAGTGAAAAAATAAAACACCATTCATTTCAAACACTTTTAATACGTATCTGATTCATTTAACACAAAATTTTAAATTGTGTTTTAAATATATGAGAAAATGTCAACAATAATGACACATGAATGACACCATAGAATGACACTATGACCACCAGACTGTGACTATAGTTTCTAAATTTCTACTCTTTATGACTAGGGTTGGCGATCATATAGCGATATATGTTTTAACTGGCAAATTATTGGGCGAATACAAACATATTGAATATTCGTAATTTTTTATAATAAAATATTGGTAATGGTGTGGATCCGGTGGCTGACCTTGAAACGAGTTTTTGCTGCATATAGTCTTAGACACTAAGCAAGCGCACATCGTCGATGTTGCCAGATTGCAAGTTATTTTGGAATTATTTTCAGTAGAAAACAAATATGTGCTTTTCAGTGTTTTTTTGTCAACATATACCGTATGATCGAAAAAACGGCGTCCAGTTGTCTGGGAAATGACGATTGAGGATATTTTGCTCTATATTATTATGCTCTAGATTATTATGCTCGTTTAAAAAGTGTTTTATTAAAAATTCGGGAAATTAAAAGGGACGTGTCCAAGTTTTTTCTTTTTTTTTTTAATTTTTATATGCTGTAGCTCTATGTCATGTTCATAATAGGTTTTTGTTAACATTCCATCAAAACTACGTAATTTTAAAATTGTAGAATCAGCTTCAGCAACATTAACAGTTACCTTGTTTAATTCTGCTTATACATATATTGCATTAATTTTTCTGCTACTTTAAGATTTCTCTATTCTTACCTTACACCTAATTTATGTGATTTTCTTAGCATATATGATTTATAAACCATATTTTTCCTAATGGAAGGATATGGAACAGGATATGCAAAATTAAGATATTTTAACATTTATTTTCCAGACAAAAGCATAATATAGTATTAAGATTAAGACATAACAAATATTATAAGAAAGATCTTAATATAAATCACAAACTAACTAAGTCTTAATTTGGTCTTGTATAAACATAGGTATAAAACTAATAAGATCAAAACTCAACCTTCACCATATTGTCAAGATTTGGCATTATAAGAAACAAGAAATTACAGTAAATTAAGAAAAGAATATCAAAGTACACGATATTAAATACTGTATTGTATTCTATGACACAAACCATCTCCCTTCTAAAGAGAAAAAGATAAAACATAAGCTTATTCAGCTTATTTTAGTCTTATCACCACACTCTTCGATAAAATATATGTCTAAAATTGCTATTAATCTGCTAACTTGATATTTTTAAGAAATTATGATTCAAACATTATAATCAAAGTACATTATAGGTAAAATGTTACCTCTATCTCATTGACGTGTATATTGTTCTATAAGACTCGTCATGGTAGTACTTCAATACATCAATACATATAATCAAAACTATTGTTGCCTGTAAATAACTAGAAATTAAATAACTTGAAAGAAATAAAATAATTCTAGTAAGTTTAAAACCATTAAGAAAAAATCCGTAAATGATAATTTTTAATTCTAATGTAAATATATATAATAAATGTTATCATTAGTACAATTTTATATATTCATTATACTTTCATTTCACAATCTTCATTATCCTTCTTACCTTAATTTTGGATATCCAGATAAATTGTATTATTATTGATTAACACTCAAAAAGAAATTTTTCAACTGCAAATAATTTGAAAATAAACTGCAATTTGGCAACATCCACGATGTGCGCTTGCGTAGTATCGATGATCAAATGCAGCAAATATGGGCTTCAAGGTCAGCCACCGGATCCACACCTTTACCAAAATATTTTATTCTAAAGGCATTCGAATATGTCTTAACTCGTTATATCTAAAAGTAAAAGTAGTATATCATATATCCGAAAATTTAAATCCGAAAAATTAAACTTTTTATATTGTAACATAATTATAACTTTTAAATTTGTAAAAATATTATTTATTTGAAGGTCCATGAATATACTATATGATCGATAAAAAAAAGGCGTCAGTGATGGCTATGAAATCAAGATAGCTGTCATTTTATATGTAAAATTATATGGGGAATAAAGAAATAAATTGGGATAGTGTGTGGCATGGTTATTTTAATAACAAAATTGTCGTACAAACACGCATTTTACCCCAGTTCAGCTCCAGTTTCTTTAAAGGGATGCGCGAGTGCAGTTTCTAATTCGTCTCCATGGTGGTCTCCCTTTTTATTCTTGTCTAAGATTTTAGGCATGGCGCGCGAGGCGCGCTCTGAAGTTATGTAGCGGTGGTGAGGCAAAGGAATGGCGTGGCACTTGGTCGATTAACTGGCGCTTTTTCAATTCAGTTTTTTCTAGTGATTAAAGATGTAAAATTTTGCATGGGTGGTAATATGGACTTATTTTTGTATCATTTATCTTTAGTTATTTGGTAAAACAGAAAGAAATATAAACTTTAAATATAATATTTACATCATATTATCTCTATTACACCTCTTACAAAGGGAAAATTATTCATAATATCAATACACTAGTTTATTAACGTAGTTTTCATGTAGTTAATGAACAGGAAAGACGTAGTTTTTGAAGAAAAACTACACGTAGTTAATCAGGTAAATTACGTCTTAATCGGACTACTTCCCATTAACCCTAGTCTTAACTCGTTATATCTAAAAGTAAAAGTAGTATATCCTGATATCCGAAAATTTAAATCCGAAAAATATTAAACTTTTATATTGGTAACTTTTAAATTTTAGTAAAAATAAATATTATTTATTTGAAGGTCCATGAATATACTATATGATCGATAAAAAAAAGGCGTCAGTGATGGCTATGAAATCAAGATCATTTTATATGTAAAATTATATGGGGAATGTAATCGATGTTCATTTCCAAGCTAACTGGACGCCGTTTTCTTCGATCATACGGTATTTTCTGCCTGAAAGATTTATAACAAATTATAATAATGAAATAAAATAAAGAAATAAATTGGGATAGTGTGTGGCATGGTTATTTTAATAACAAAATTGTCGTACAAACACGCATTTTACCCCAGTTCAGCTCCAGTTTCTTTAAAGGGATGCGCGAGTGCAGTTTCTAATTCGTCTCCATGGTGGTCTCTTTTATTCTTGTCTAAGATTTCAGAAATGGCGCGCGAGGCGCCGCTCTGAAATTATGTAGCGGTGGTGAGGCAAAGGAATGGCGTGGCACTTGGTCGATTAACTGGCGCTTTTTCAATTCAGTTTTTTCTAGTGATTAAAGATGTAAAATTTTGCATGGGTGGTAATATGGACTTATTTTTGTATCATTTATCTTTAGTTTAATGTAAATTCATAAAAGAAAAAAAATGTAAGTCTTTAATGGTTTATATATTTTAAATGTACGTTAATTTTTCTACAATTCTCGAAGTTTTTATAATTTTATCGCTATGTTTACTATTTTCTGGTATAATACCATACGATCGAAAAAAACGGCGTCAGGAGTGGCTTGGGAAATGAAGATTGCTGTTATTTTGTACGTAAAATTATAGGAGGAATGTCATCGATCACTTAATTTCAAGCCAATTGAACCTTAATTTTCGATGGTACAGCATAAATTGAAAGCTCTTAACTCATACAAATAAACTTCTAAATTTGACACCATTCATTGACATAATATGTAGGTATATTTTAGAGCTGTTAATAAAAATATCCAATGAATAACGTCAAAATGTGGCTAAATAAAACTAAATCACCAAACGTTTTTTTTACTATAAACGGATAAGTAAGTATTGTCAAATAACAGTCCTCCTTATAATGCCCTAAAAATATTCTATAATGCTCCCAACATCATCCTTGTATTATCTAGAAATATCCTAAATAATCGTAAAAGGTTTGCCTAGGGATGTCTTGAAGATGCCTTTTTTTGTCCCACTTGGATATCCCATAAATATCCTCCTCTGGTTTTTGGATATCCCTAAGATATTTACTATATCTTTGGTCGATATCCTCAAGATATCTATAGGATTGTGTTGTGTTATATGGGAACCATAATGAAAAATCGTGCTACTAACAATATTACTTGTTACAGTCACAATCACAGCATTTTAGTTTAAAGAAAGGACTAAAATAGAAATTTTTTTCATGCAAATAATCATAAAAACTCGTGATTTTATTCCGGATCTTGTTAAAACTACTCTTATGGCTATGGCTGCTGTACTACTATGCGTAGGATACTATATAAATAAATAATTTCAGTTTCTAATAACGCTTTATGTTTATAATACTATAGATAATACTTTTTGAGACAATGGGGAATTGAGACAATTTAATTTGAGAAACTGTGGATTTTTTTTAAGAAAATGGTGAAAGCGCTGCATTCGCCATTTTCTCAAAAAGTATTAGTAATGAGGCAACCAATAAAACACTTACTATTATATTTTAATTAATTTATTTATTTATTAATAAAAACCTGTGGAATTCTGAAGCGATCTCAAAACAAAGAATTAAAATATGAAATAGATATAGGCATATGGGCATATTCATATTTTTAGTTTGGTTTGGTTTGGATAATAAGATTGCATATATGTATAGACTTTTTGGAGCAACTTTTTTTAAAAGGCCAGAAGATGAAAAATATCGATACTGATTTTAATTATCCTACCTCTTATGCTTCAAACAGTTTCTAATTGAGATGGCTTTATTTATTCTCCCCAACACTAATAAAAACATGTTAGCTGATAGTAGATATATAGTAGTAGTATGATAAAAATGTTATCATCCCTTTAATACTCCACATGTGAAAGAAATGTCATATAATCGAGCTGGCTTTAATATTTTTTCTATAATACCTACCCTCTTTATTATGATTAGAAAGACTTATAACTGAGTTATCTTAAATGATCCTACCTTGCTTAATACTGTACGTATTGATTAATTATTGTCGTTTTTGACCATTCGAGAGTAAATTCAGAGACTCTGTGCAACATTTCAGTTCAATCGGATACTTTACTTTTTGGCTGTAAAAAATGGGAAGATATGTACGATCGGACTGAAATTTTGCTATGTCTTAACTCCTTATATCTAAGGGTAGTATATAGCCGAAAAATTATACTTTATAGATAACTATACTACTATAAGTAACTGTAAATATGTAAAAAAATATTATTTATTTGCTAGAGATCCATGAATATATTACTGCCTGAAAGATTTATAACAAATTATGGAAAAAAATAAAGAAATAAATTGGGATAGTGTGGCATGGTTTTTTAATAGCTAAATTATCGTACAAAGTACAAACACCGCATTTTACCCCAGTTTCTTCAAAGGGATGCGCGGGCGCAGTTTTCTATTCGTCTCCATTTAAGAGAGAAATTAATTTTACGTGAAAGCTTGCTACACGATATAATTAAAGCTTAACAATAATTTAGCTCTTCAAATAGTCAATGTAACATTAGACACTTTTTCTTAAATAGCGGAAGACATAATAATAAAATAATAATCTTAGAAAAAAAGTGAAACGATGTCAAACTTGGCAATGCTGTAACGCACCCTTTTTAGGGATCCTAAGCGCATTGGTCCAAGGATCGCCTCGCCGAATTTCCATTATGCGGGAGAAAGGTTTCGAAAACGTCTAGAACGCTTTATTCGAATTAATAAATGCCATAGCTGGCCGAAAAAATGAGGAGCACTAGCTCTGAACTGCTCCTAGACCACCAAGAGGAGCTCCGCAAACGCAAAATTAAGGTAAGTCGTTTTTATTTATAGGTCAGCTGATTCTAATTCAATGCGGGCCAAATTCTTTATTACGGTAACTCGGTCATCTAGAGCTAAATATCCTTTAATTTAATTACCATTTGGCGTTATAGAAATAAACGAAAGGGGCTAAATAAACGCTTTGTAATATACATTTTTTTGCTAAATAGGTTAGCCTTTAAATCAATGATTTATTACCTAGGTATATATATATATATATATATATATATATATATATATATATATATATATATATATATATATATATATATATATATATATATATATATATATATATATATATATATATATATATATATATATATATATATATATATACCTAGGTAATAAATAATATATATATATATATATATATATATATATATATATATATATATATATATATATATATATATATATAATCATATTTTACATGGCCTAAAGTCAACAATAATTATTGTTCAGTAAATTCATATACGTATATTTAATCAGTCGAGTCCCAAGAGATTTTTCGCATTTTTTGAGTAAATAAAGTTAGAACGAGTTCTAAATACATAATTAGAATCTAGTGAACAGGACATAATAATACAAATAGAGCGCGAGTAGTAAATAACAGTTCATATTTTCCTGCATATAGAAGATAAAATGAAATTCGTTTGAAACGATATAGGCTGTAAGTTATTAACGGGTCATATGTTACAAAATATACTCAGTTGTTTTTTGTTGTTTTCATTTTGCAGTAAATTGATGGCTGACTCGAGTATTTTGCAGGAGCTGGCCTTGGCGAAAAAAGCTCAGTCACGGCAGCAAGGGGCTCGAAGCTGTCGTGAGCAGGCCCTTTTTTATGCCACAAGTCTGCTCGCTGTGCTAGCTATGGCCGCTGGCTCCTCTCTACTTTTCTTAGTGCCCCTTTACGTGGATCCAGCCATTTCGACACTAGCCAGTGACTTCGTTACCGAGCCTGTTACTTGTATCACTACCAGAGTTGAACAGCTTACAGGTACATCCTCTATCTATTTCCAATAGATGGTAACTCTTTGAATTGTCCAAAGGTTTCCGCTTTATTGCAACTCTTCGCACAAATGTAACCACTTTTTGCAGTAGTCTTTAGAGCATCCTTACTTAAGTAGGTACTTAATTTACTCTTGTTAATTTGGCGTTTTATCAAAAAAATTGATATTACATTAAATGAATTTGGTATGGGTTAAAACTGTCTTTGTTCTTTGGTCTAGGCTTAGCTAATTGTTCATGGAGTTCATGCCGCGAAGGCTGTACCAGCGATGCTTATCACTGTACCCATATTTACGTCAGCTATAATGCCACTGTACCAGGGCTAAACAATACCGAGGAAGCCATTCTTTTAGTCAACATAAAAGGCTGTGGTTATCCGCCAAAAATACGATGTGCTAATTTTTCTGGTACATTTGGAGAAGAAGGTACCGAATTTCCTTGCTTCCCTTCCAAGCAAAATGGCACCGTCGTATTGACAAATTACATCAAAGATGAACAGGTGAGCTGAATTTTATAATATCGTAATTATTATGGCATGAATTTTATTGCGCATTATCAGAGGATATACAGGGTGTTTCTTAATGACATGCTAATATTTAAGGGGGTGATTCTTGAGCCTATTCTACGAAAAAAATTTCATATTAATGTATGTCCTAATTTTTTTCATAATAACTCTGATATTATTATCGTTATCTTGATGAAACTTGATACACGTTTCCTATATCCATCAAGATGTTTTTTATGTACAAAAATATTTATTTATTTTAACCAGTACCGTTCATACGGGTTTTATAATAAATATTTTTGGAGAAAAAAGTGGTACGCCACTGACTTGTTTTAAAATAAATATTATTTTAAAAATCTCTATTGGCTGGAAGTGGAAAGAAATTAAAAGATACAACAAAATATTTTTTTGTGTATCAAAAAATGCACCTTGATGCATAGAAAACCTGTATCAAATTTCATAAAAATATCTATAAGTATATGTAATAACATCAGAATTATTATGAAAAAGGTTTATTTCAGAAAATTTTATCACCCTGTATCTCAAAACTTAAGATGTTTAGGACATACATTCATATGAAGTTTTTTTCTTAGAATAAGTCCAAGATTCACCATGACATTAAGGAACACCCTGTATATAATAAAATGGTAAAATTGAATCCAAATTTTCATAATTTTTTTTGTTTCGTAGTAACTTTCTTAGTACATATATGTCATGTGTATTATTTATTAACATACTTTTTGGTATAAATGAGCATATTATGATATTTTTTGCGTTGTCTGTTCTAGATAGCAATCATCATCCACTATTTTGCCGTTCCCTTTGTGGTAACCCTCGCTACGTCGGTAGCGTTGTGCGTAATGCATTGTGACTGCACTTGTACCCCAGCCCAGAGGCGTACCATGAGGTCACGTAGGCCCCCCCGAATACCACTGAGGTCTGAGTATAGTGATGGGTCGCTCAGTTTAGGACTGCAACCGGCATTTTCCTAACCTACGTAGATATTTTTTATATTCTCGTTTGATTGAGAGATTTAAATGTTGTTCTTCACATCGCGACCAGTGGTGACCCCTCTAGCAATATAGATATATTTTACAATTTTTTCTGTAATTACCAGATAAGGAGACTATATTCTATTTTTCTTTCCTTAGGACTGTTTTAATAATTGGTAAAATTTAGAATGGAGAAATAGTATAAGGCCATCCGTGTTAAATTTGATTAAAAAAATATAGTTAAAGTGTGATAGATTATAAATAGATACAACGCATATACTTATAGTGAAAGAATCGTAATGTTATCAAATTTTGTCAAAAGAAAAGTTAGAAGAGTTTTTCATAAAGATTGTATTTTTATAAAAAGTTTATATTGATTTTTGTTGATATGATATGTTACACATATGAAGCTATTAAGTTGTAGGAAGCATAGATTTTAAAATCTAATAACGTCGTTAGAAGTGTTGATTTTTGTATTAAATTTTATATTAAATTATATTAATGAAACCTATGATAGTCCTTATATTTATATGAATAAATGAATATAATATATATATATATATATATATATATATATATATATATATATATATATATATATATATATATATATATATATATATATATATATATATATATATTTTTTTTTTGTGGATATAATTATACAGTCAAAAAGAAGCTTTTTTTATGAGGAATGCAGTGCTGTACCAAAGTTTACAGATTTAAAATAATTCTCTAAATTTGGGCTGTACTCAGATTTAGTGTGGCACTATTAGATTATTCATGAGAAATTTCTAAAACCCCTTAATAACTATATAGTATTGACAGGTATATTAAAAATCCTGGCAAACGTTCGTTTACTTTTTAGTCACTGGACAAATTAAAATTTAAGATAGGTATGTAATCAGCACCAATACATATACTAAGTAGTATATTTATTATTTTAAATTAATTTGAAAACGAAAAAAATCTGTTGTCGAAAGAAACGAATAACCTGTAGAGTGTAGACCATAGAAAAGGATCTGTAGATTTCAGTGAATGATACTTTTACCAGTAATTAAAAGAGAGTAAGTTTGTCGCGCAGTTGGCCGTCACGTCCCGTCCCGTTCCGGCCCGTCAAAATGCGGATTAGGATTAAAACCATGCAAATGAATAGACTACCGCACGTCACGTAACGGCCCGTCACGGCACGGAACGGCGAATCGGCGAACATTCATTTACACGGTTTTAATCCTATCCGCATTTTTTGACGGGACGGGACGGGACGTGACCGCCAAGTGCGCGACAAATTTTGTGTGAAGTGTATTGCAGATCGTTGATCAAGATTGTTAAATTTCGTTGATTAAATATGTTGATTTATTATAGTCCTTTTACAGTAATCATAGAAAAAAATATTAGAGCACTTTTTAAAGTATTATATAAAAGAACTATTCCGATATATCGTTAATTTCTTTAGATATATTTATTCATATATGGAAACAAAATATAGATACTAAAGTATATCAATATATTTTAAAAAATATATCGATATACCCTTGCCATCCCTACTATACGAATCTTTCTGTTTTTACGGTTGGTGAAGCCGGTAGCCGGGAGTGTGCCAACTTAGGGAAGTTTTCCCCCATATTTAAAGAAGTAGAAACAGTTTTTTTTAAATATAATTGATATCTATGAAATGATTGATAATAAAATATTAAATGTCAAAAGTGTCCATTCTAAACGTGTTAATTTCTAATATTAGTTCTTGGCTGAAGGTGATTTAGCAGAATTTATGAATTTAATTTAGCAGGTCATTTTAGTGGAAAAGTTTTCGAATGGTTGGCGACAATGGGTAACGAGACAAAAGATGATATGGTTGCCGGTTTTTGTTTGACAATTGTAAATATGTTTTAAGAATTTATTTATGAATTTGGGTGTATTTCTAATAACTTTACAACTAAATACAAAACATTTGTATTTAAGCACTTAGAATTGAATATATTAAAGATAAAGGAGCACAATAAACATGATTTCGATAGGGCCTAAAATGGATGGAGGTCCAAGCACCAAATATTTTGAATCAACAGAAACTTTAAATGCCTTAGAAGGCACTAAAAATTGGCTTCAAAAAAATGCTAAAAAGGTATTTGATTTAGATTAGTTATGAATATTACAAACAAATAGATCTTAATGTTTATAGTACATAAATAACGACCCAATAACCAACAAGTCAATTTCACAAACAGTTGTACAGCTTTTGCAGTTTCAAGAAGACTTTTTAGGGAAAAAAACGCAAAAGCCTCCTATGACTCGATTACCTGTACGTAATATTTTAGATGTTATGTTTGTTTAAGTTAGAATTTTAAAATTGTTTCTATACCTTGCATAGATGAAATATTTTCTCGATTTCAAACCTGGTGGAGGTTTATGCCACTTGTTAGCTGCAGCTTATAAGTTTAAAATGGACCATGGCTGGAGGAAGTTTGAAATTCCATCTGGAAAGGTACGTGTACAGCATGTTTATTCTCGATGTTGTGTTTTTGTTAAAAAAGAGTGTCTGTTTTGCTAATCATTTCAGAATATATCAAAGCTTGATAAAGTTTTTGAGATGTTTCAATCTATGGAAAAAGCGTTGATACAGAACAAATTGTACAGTGTTCCTTTAATTTATATAAATCCAAATATTGACAAGGCAGTTGCTCAGAAAGTTAAAGATATTGTAAGAAAACGTAATGGTCAAGTTTTGGAAACAGAAGAAAATGCAACACATATACTGTACAATACGGCCGATGCTCCTGTTGAAGAATATGGAAGACCCGTTATAAAACGTGACAAAATGGTCTTGATGCACTGGTATTATTTTCCAGATTCGTTTGACACCTGGGTGAATTTAGAAACAGTAGGCTTAGATGGCATGCCAGTAGACAGTCCTAGTCCTCATTCTGGACCATGGCGGGTAACCTACACTTGGGTCTTTGATACTGATCAGTATAATGAGTGGATGTCAGAAGAAGACTATGAGGTAGATGAGTTAGGAAGGAAAAAAATACATCCTCGGCTAATGTCAGTAGAAGACTTGATGAATCCATCTGAAGATCGTAATAAGAAAAAGCGCGAGAGTAAAAGAAAAAGGTCTCCGTCCCCTCCCTCAAAATTAGGCAAAAGAAAAAGTGGAAGAAGTCCTGCTGTAGGCAAAAAGAGTAGCAAAGATGATGAGGAAGATTTAACCAAGGACATGGAAGATCCTGTTCCAGAACCTAACATTGTGGAAGTCATTCCTTCTCCCAATGGCCAGCCAGTCACAAAGAAAGATCATGAATTACAACCCCTCAAAGGGGGATCTATTGCAGAGCTTGAGGAGGGAGAAGACAAGGGAGAGGAGAACTCTCAGACAGGTAAAACCAGTGAGAGCAATATCCAGGATGATGGACAGGAGGATAATGTAACAGAACAAACTCATCATATAGTAATTCCTTCTTATTCAGCCTGGTTTGATTACAACTCAATCCATGAAATTGAGAAAAGAGCTATGCTGGAATTTTTTAATGGCAGAAATAAGTCAAAAACGCCTGAAATATATCTTGCCTACAGGTAATATGTTGAACCATTATGATTTTTATCAGTCCGCCTTCTCTATTTAATTCACATATTTTCTTCCAGAAATTTTATGGTTGACACCTATAGATTAAATCCAACTGAGTATATAACTAGCACAGCTTGCAGAAGAAATTTAGCTGGAGATGTCTGCGCTATAATGAGGGTTCATGCATTTCTAGAGCAATGGGGTCTTATAAATTATCAAGTTGATACAGATTCGAGGCCTACTACAATGGGACCACCGCCGACTTCTCATTTTCACATCCTTTCTGATACTCCATCGGGCTTGCAGCCTGTCAACCCACCTAAAACACCACAGCCCAGCGCAGCTAAAACTTTACTCGACCTGGAAAAGCCTCACGAAATAAGAAAACACGAAGGTCCAGAACCATTGGCCAGTTTTGGCTTAAAATTGGATCAGTATTCCAAGAAACCAGCTGTCCTCAGGAATAAAAATGCTGCCTCGCTGACCCGTGATTGGACAGAGCAAGAAACGCTTCTTTTGCTTGAAGGTAATATGGAAATATCTTTTTTTGCCAGTTGCAATATTTAGATATATGTTAACAGGTCTGGAGATGTATAAAGACGATTGGAACAAGGTTTGTGAACATGTGGGTTCCAGAACACAGGATGAATGTATCTTACATTTTCTGAGGTTGCCAATAGAGGATCCATATTTAGAAGACCCAGAGGCAGGAGGTGCTCTCGGCCCATTGGCTTATCAACCCATTCCATTTAGTAAGGCTGGAAATCCCATCATGTCAACTGTAGCCTTCTTAGCTTCTATTGTTGATCCACGGGTAGCAGCCGCTGCAGCCAAGTCCGCTATGAATGAATTTGCCAGTATTAAAGACGAAGGTAAGTAATTTTCCTCTCTCCTACGAGAAGCCCCCTTGTACAATAATAATTCTTAAACAGTGCCTGCGGCTGTAATGGATGCCCACTTAAAAAATGTAGAGGCCTCATCTGCAGAAGGGAAATATGACCCATCAGCAAATTTAGCTCTAACAGGAATAGCTGGTACCGCCCCTGAAAAGGAGGACGATGACCGCTTGAAGAGAGAAGACAAAGACGGTGACAAGTCCGCGGAAGAACAGCAGAAACCTGGAGAAGGCCAAGATGAGAGAGGCGAAAAGGTATTTAGCACTAGTTTGGTGTTTTGATTTGTTGCGATTTATGTTACACTTTACTCTAGCTTAAGGCTGAAGCTGACGGTGAAAAAGATGAGAAAATGGATACTGGGGATGTTAAGACGGAGAAAGTGGTGAAAGACAGCGAAATGCAAAGCGCAGCAGCGGCGGCACTTGCAGCCGCAGCCGTCAAGGCCAAACACTTGGCCGCGGTGGAGGAAAGGAAAATCAAATCTCTGGTAGCTCTGTTAGTCGAGACTCAAATGAAAAAATTGGAAATCAAATTGCGCCACTTCGAGGAACTAGAAACGACGATGGAGCGAGAGAGGGAAGGTCTCGAATACCAACGGCAACAGTTGATCACGGAGAGGCAACAGTTTCACTTAGAGCAGCTCAAAGCTGCGGAATTCAGGGCCAGACAGCAAGCCCATCAAAGGTACCATTTCAAGGCTTATACGTGCTTGATAAAACGTGATTTGTGATTTTTGGTTTTAGATTACAGGCAGAGCAAGGCCAGTGGCCAGGCCAACAGGTGCCCTCGTCGGGACAAAGTGATGGCTCAAATTCGAGCGATACCGGTGCCAGTACCACGCCCACACCTCCATCGCCTCAAGCGTCGGCAGTAAATTCCCCTCAGGCCGCACCCCATCACCATATTGAGTAATTTATTTATTGATTGCAATAGTGATGGGCGTGACATCAAGTGATAACAGAAACAAGTCTGAAACGCTGTTAGGTCATGTCTATCATAAGTAATAAAATATCAAGAGACTTTACTATCAGCGCTGTATAACAATATTAAGGTTGTACCTGTATAAAAGGGACTTCACGAATGCGACAGGAACGGAGATTTTCTTGATCAAATAAATTACCCAAGGTAGTTTAAAATCTCGCTGATACTTTAGTCTCGCGGACACATTATATACTATTATTTTTTATTGGTATTTTCTATTTACCCTTTATATCAGCTGTAAGTTTTATTTAGAAATATTTTCAAGAAAAAAATTATACTTCATGTAAAGATATATGTAGCTCTGAATTAAATACTTTTTACCTATGAAATAAATAATACATATTTTACCAACACCAATACCCTTATTTATTACGCCGTTCCGCTTTTTCTAGGATAATGTGCATCCGCATCCTAGAAAAAGCGGAAAGGCGTAACGACCTTGAATAGATTTCCACTAATTCTATTGGCTGAAATTTTTCACGATGAATTTGACAGATGAAATTTTTCACAAATGAATGTTTCAGCCAATAGAATTGCTGGTAATCGATACAAGATCTAGAATCTGTAGAATTATATGGGGAATGTCATCGATCGTAATTTACAAGCCAACTGGACGTCGTTTTTTTTCGATTATCCGGTACAATAATGAATCTAGCCAATTCCCTTCACACCTGCTTACGGATTCAATGAATAATGTAATTTTTAATATTCATTTGTGAAATAGTCATTTCCAAACAAACAAGACGCCGTGTTTTTCGATCATACAGCATATATGTATATACACTTTTAAAACATATGTTATTACATTATTATTTTTTTAATTATACATTATACACACGTTAATAAATAAATGTCTTGATAATCAGTCTACTGTGACTGTTAAATAAATTTTGCATTATCGACTTAGATATTCTAATATTATAAAGGTGAGACTATAAATTACAAAATTGTATATGCATTACTCAAAAATGAACGATATATTAGTTTACGTTTTAATATATAATATATTTGTACCGTCTAGGTACAAGCTAATTTCTGATGTTACGCCATTGGACAATTCCGAGTGGTGACAACTTGCCTCACTTTCAGCTGCCGTGTTACCTGTCCCCTCTCTTTCCTTGTCTAAGGTTAGTATCAGTATATTCTGTGATTTTGATATTGGAGACTTTGTACTTTGACCTTTTGTTTTTTGCTAAATTTTGTTCAAAGTCTTAAAAGAGCCCCAATTCCACTAACAATTATTTGCTATAAAGAAACCATGCTTTCCAGGCGTATAGGAAAACAGGTAAGTGATATTTTACATAATTTCAATATAGGTTAAAATTGTATGTAACATTTGTCCCATTTATTATTAGTTTTGTGGGCATTTCAAAGGATCATTTGGGAGGTTTCAAAGTACCCTTGTTGTCGCAGAACACAACAACGAAACTCTGACTCCAATCACGCAAAACACCATAACAGCAGCTAAAAATTTAGGAGGAAATATCTCAGTTCTTGTAGCAGGAACTAAATGTGGACCAGTAAGTAGCAATACAATGATTCAATGGCTTTTTAATCCCTATTTATTCGTAGGCCGCAGAAGCATTGTCTAAAACGGACGGAATTACGAAAGTTTTAGTTGCCGAGAGTGATATTTTTAAAGGTTTAACTGTTGAAAATCTAACGGCGTTAATTGTAGCGACACAGAATAAAAACAAATACACCCATATCCTTGCCGGCGCTTCTACTCTGGGCAAAACGGTCATTCCCAGGGTAGCAGCTAAATTAGATGTATCACCCATATCAGATGTGATTGGGATTAAATCCACAGACACCTTTATTCGCAGTATATATGCTGGTAATGCCATACAAACCATTCAAGCAAACGACCCCATAAAAATCCTAAGTATTAGAGGAACTAGCTTTGAGCCTGCAACGTTAGGTTCAGGTTCAGCAACCATAGAAAAAGTACCAGTCGAGGGCTGTGATACTCAATTATCAGAGTTTGTTAGTCAGGAATTAAGCAAATCAGATAGACCAGAACTGACTAGTGCAAAAGTTGTTGTGAGCGGAGGTAAGAGTTATTTTGCCATGTTAGAAGTGTAAAAATATAATATTTTCCATATTACAGGTCGAGGTATGAAGTCTAGTGATAATTTCAAGATCTTATTTGATCTTGCCGATAAGTTAAATGCAGCCGTGGGGGCGTCTAGGGCTGCTGTTGATGCAGGATATGCACCAAGTCATTTCTTAGTGGGTCAAACAGGCTCAATCATTGCGCCAGTAAGCTACTAGATTTTCTGCACTGGATATACATTAAGTGTTATTTAAGTCTGTGGCCAGACTAGTCGAGAAATACCTCCCGTTCAATAAACTGGTTCCTAGCAAAATAAAAACACTAAATCAAAACAATACACCAAAACACTTTTTTTTGTTTATTATCATCTGCTGATGATGCTAACATGATGGTTAGCGAAACGCGCGTCCAGTGTAAAAGTAAAAGTGTTTTGGTATATTGTGGTGATTTAGTGTTTTTATTTTGCTGTGTAACACCAAAGGTTCCAACCCTCAACTGTAAACTGGTTCCTCTTAAATCACTCAAGAATCGCCTCTTCTAGTTTGGCTATGCACTTAAGTAACATCCAGTTTATCTGTTACAACTCAGCAGATACTTCTGTGGTTTTTGTTTTGACATATTAAATAATATTTTAGGATTTATACATTGCTGTTGGAATATCAGGAGCAATTCAGCATTTGGCTGGTATGAAAGACAGCAAAACAATCGTGGCCATTAATAAAGACCCAGAAGCTCCAATATTCCAAGTAGCTGATTATGGCTTGGTTGAAGATCTATTTAAAGCTGTTCCAGAAATGACAGGCAAATTGTAATCATTATATTTTATTTACAACTGTACAAATATTTTTACAACTTTTTATAATAATATAGCAGACTATTTTTGTTATATATTTTTTAAAACAACTGTAACAAATGGACGGAAATATTTCAATTTAATTACTCCTGAAAACAAGTCACAATTCTTGAGTATTAGTTTTAAAAGATTATAATATAAACATGTACCTCCTACTCCTTATATTATAAAATAGTGCAGGTAACAAAATAACAAATAATATATCACGCCGTTCTAATTAATTTTTATATTTCTATGAAACAAAGGATTTAATGCGATATGTTAACTCCACATCTCTAAAAAGCAAGTAATCATGTGAGTCAAATGCTCTGGCGTTTCTATCATGGACATGTGACCAGCATTAGGAAGCAATTCCAGATAAGCTCTTGGAATTGTCTACAAAAACAACCATTTTAGATTTAAAGCATAATTGAAATACTCCTTCCCCTTACCCTTTCCATTTCACATTCTTGGACTAGTGTTACATTTTTGTCCTGTAAACCATGGACCAGCAAAGTAGGAACCATAATTCTTCTATGGAAAGCTGCATCCCCTTCAGTCCAGTGCTGTCCTGTTACCAAATATTCCAGTATATGCGGTGGCACAGTGGATTCGTTTTCACATGGCTTAAAACTTTTACCCCGCGACGAATAAAAAAAACTTCTACAAATAAAAGTTTCCGATTAATTTTTTTTAAATATTTTTACTTAGCAGCTTGTCAAATACTTTCTGATTAGTCAGTTTTCATTGAACAATATATTAACCTTTTTACTCCGCAGTATAGGAACGGATAGCAGAAATATGATGCACATCCGTAAGGTGAAATATTATTTACATCTGCCGGTGGTGCTAAGGGAGTTGGTCCGCCACCGCTGATCAACACAAGTTGCGCTATTTTGGAGGCTTTATGAGGATAAAGGGCAGTTGCCAAGCTGCAGCTAGAAATATTATAAAGTTTACTTCTCCCTCAAAAAGTTAAAAATGTTTACCCATAAGAATGTCCAATAAGTACACATTTTCTTTTTTCTTCTTTTTCCATGAAATAATCAAATACCGCTATTAACTGAAGCAGCAGATTTTTAAAGTGGTAAAAGCTGGATTTTGTCGGAGCTGAACTAAATCCATGTCCTAAAATATCTGGAGCTATGACTTCAAAACCTTTTGCTGAAAGGCTGCGCATCAATATTCCCCAAATTTCAGCAGACGAACCTAAACCATGAATGAACATAATTAAGGGTTTCTAAAAAATCAAGTACTGTTAATTGGTCCAAAGTAAACAACCTGCATCATACATTTTTCTTATGGAAACAATTTTTATGTGAAACATTTAGACTAGAAGAATGGAAATGTTTATTTGTTTCTATGACTTTTTCTTTCTTTCTTAATATTATATTTGTAAGTTCCAGATCACCCTCTGTATTAGCGTATCCCAAGTTAAGGACGCCATCCTTTGGATTCTTTTTAGAAGAGTCTAGTAAAGCTTCAGATAATGTTTCTTTGATCAAGTTTTCTACAAAAGCCTCTATATTGTTTATTCCTTTTAGAGGCCCATCAGAGCTGGAAAAAATAAGTTGGTTAACAGTTATTGTGCGATTTAAACACTTACATGTCTAACTTTGAATCTTTTTGAGATGTGACACAATTTGATCCTATGGATATTCTGGATCTTCTAAAGGAACAGTTACAATTTGTACTTTTAGATGGTCTACTCTTTTTAAACCAATACTCCTCTGATAGCGAGCTTCTCTTTGAAAGTATATCATCAGTGACAACAGCAGCATGCCTTATTTTTTCAGGTATAAAATGAACCACCCTTATTGTCACTTTGGAATTGATAAATATAAACTTGCAGTCTTTTGACGATACCGGGTCTGTCGGATGTATTTGATTAATTCGGGTAAAAGAACCATAAAGACTTCTCCAAGTATTTGTCACTTTAGGAAAGCATCCGATGACTGGAGCAGTTCTGTTTTCAGTCATATTTGTTTGCGTTTATGTCACGCCCATTATAATTCCTTAAGTGCATTTAATAAACCTATTGAATAAAACCTGCCTACACATTTTTAATCGGTCTACTTTAATTACTTATCTTGCGGCTTAACTGTATCAAATTCCTTTCCATTAGGCACTGCGGCTGTGGTTTTTAACCAGTGAAACACTTGCATAATCTTTTTAAATCAATGAACTAAACAACTAATAAACCCATATTCAAAAATTATATATAATATAATTATATTCTTAGATGTTTGATGTTGATATAAATAAATAACGTATATATTTTATTAACTTTTGACACCTGTTGTCCCTGTTGTCACAACCTGTCATCCACTCTCTGTCAACAAGTGTTGTAGAAATAGCTTCTACGTGCCACTAGTCAACCTGCATACCCAACAATGTTGCCGTTTGCTGTCACCTTATTTCATAAAGCGGCGGAAAGCGGAAAGTAACGCCTAGCTATAGCCAATTTTGCAAGAGCAGCTGTGGATCCATTGGTGAGGCCGTCGCTTTGGGATCGAGAGGTCCCAGGTTTATGTCTCACAAATATAGAACTTTTTTATTTTTTTAGAGCTGCTTTTATTCTTTTATTTATTTGTATACGCCATAGGCGTGTTCTGTGTTCGAATACAATTCAAACGCATTTGTTTTTTTTACTATTTTGATAAACACCTAGTATTAGTTTTGTAAATATGTTAAAATTATCTTACTACCTAATGTATACAAAATAGAAAGTTGATCACGAAGGGATGCTTTCACACGCTTCGCTAAATTGACCTGCAAAACACTTAAAATACCACCCTTGACGGCCATGTGTTTTTTTTTGTCTTGTTCGAATGGCAGATCTTAACTTTCTATTTTGTCACGGGGAGACGCCCGTGAACCCTCTCAGGCAGCATCACGCCTATTAATTTAGTCTCTGAATTGTACATTTTTCGCTAATTCTCGCAATATTACTCTCGCCTCAGTTAGGCAATGTTATTTCTCTCTCTCACCTATTTATTGTAGGTATTTTATATATCAAGTTTACCTTTAAGTTACTGGGAAGCTGCAGTGAATTTGTTTAATTTCAGTTTGATTTACCGTTTTTAAAGTTTTATCATTTGCCAATATACGTGTTGTTGTTGACCCTAGTAGTTTTTTTTGCGACGTGTACTGGATCCACTTTGAAATTAATTACACATTCGAGAGTAATTTGAATATTACTCTCAATTTTGGATTTGGTGCTCTCAAGCAGTAGTACCGATACAAAAGCTGGTCCTTCGAGCCGGATCTTTAAAAGGTCCTTAAGTGATGGTATATGTTTACAAAAACTCACAATAGTAGAAGTGCTCCAATAAAAGGGTAATTCAAACAGTGACAGTATTTTGGACATTAAAACAACTACAAGAAGTGATGAGTGTGTGACAGTGTAACTCGACTACAACGCGTGTGTGTGATAGTGTGCTAAAAAGAGATAGGTGTAAGCTGGAAGTATCCCAGGTAAGACAAGTAGTCTTGCAAATTGTCTCAACAGGACTCCATTCTCCACAATCTCTATTATCTCGTCCTCGATAGACTATAAACTTTTTTAGAGACTCTCTCCCGAAGAAAATCATATAAACCATATTATATTGCTCTCTTTCCTCATTTTTTTATTGTTGTTATTTTCGCACTAGATTTACACTGCTAGCCTCCCATATAAGTTGATATTGTAGTAAATTACTCAGAATAACTCTTTCTCTACTAGATTAGTAAATTAATTGTTTCTAAATTTATTGTAGGTCATTTTGTCATCTAAATTTTCTAGATATAACGTCACTAACCCACAGGTATCTAACTATTGTAATAGCGAGCTATCTAAATTGTTTTTTTTATTTATAATAGTTGTCGTGCCTTGGTAAAAAAAAAATGGCTGCAAGTTTGGAAGCTTTGGTTAAAGAACGCGGAATTTATAAAGGAAAAATATCGAAAATTATAAATTGGTATAATAAAAACGCAACCACAGAAACCGATTATTTGGAATTTGAAGCTAGGTTAGATTGCTTAACCCAAGCTTTCACGCTGTATGAAGCCGTTAATATGCAAATTATGAACATAGATTCCAACAGCCAAGACAAGGATGACATAGATGATAAGTATTGCTCATGTCGAGCAAAGTTAAGGGGTAAAATTATAACGCTCTCGCCTCAATCGCAAACTCAACAGGCATCAGTACCCGTATCAAATCATCAGGGTCAAAAACCTAACGTTAATCTGCCTCAATTGCATATTCCTCGGTTTAATGGAGACCTCACTAGTTGGAATGCATTCTACCAATTATTTAATACGCTTATCGTTAACAACAATATGCTTTCAAATATAGAAAAGTTAATTTACCTGAAATCATACCTATCAGGAGAGCCTCTACACCTCATTGACACTTTACAATTAACTGACTCAAATTTAAATATTGCCATTGAAACCCTGAAACAACGTTATGATAATCAATTGTCAATAATATTCTCGCACATTAAGAATTTAGTTGACATACCCTCTCTCACTAAGGTAAATGCTCATATTATTAGAGATTTTATCGTAAAAATAAAACAAAATCTCGACTCTCTCAAAACTCAAGGAATCCCAGTAGACCAATGGGATTTAATACTCATTTACATTTTTTCCCAAAAACTAGATTATGGCACGCGGAAGGCGTACATTGCTGAGCGAGGGGCACATATATCAAAGGCTACATCAGGTACCTTTCCAAAACTAGATGACTTACTCAGTTTCCTTGAATCACGCTGCTCTGTTTTGGAAGACCTCTCAGAACCCAAAATATCCCCTCACACTCAAACCGGTCCCCCTCGAGGCCCTGCCCATAGTAGCTTCTATAGGGCTACTCACCTTGCTCAAGGATTCAATGAGCCAGGTGGTAATGGCCAAATTAATTCTCACCACACTCACTCATCCCACGATATCTCAAATAAATTTGGAACCTCTAGGCCCACTAATTGTATTTTTTGTAAATTACCCACTCACAGAATTTACTCTTGTTCACAGTTTATTCAATTGCCCTTGAACCGAAGAAGTGATTTTGTTTATCAGAACAAATTATGTATAAACTGTTTAGGTTCGAAACATCATATTCGTGACTGCATGTCACTCTTGTCTTGCTCAGTATGCAAGAAAAGACACCACTCGTTGCTGCATTCTGCTAGTCACCCCACTCAAAGGTTCAAACAGAACAATTCTCAAAACAATGCTCGTCAGAGTAACCAAGGCATGAACTCTACTTCTCAACCCCCTGAACCTAAGCAGCCATCCCAAACAAACCCCAATGATCTACCCCAGCAAACCACTAATAGTCACCAAACACTCACTGTTTTTACACAAGAAGATAACGAAGTATTGTTGGCAACAGCCCTTGTCAACATCGTTGCCAAAAATGGACATACCATTACTGCCAGAGCCATACTTGATTCTGGCAGCACTATATCCATTATCACTGAACGACTGTTGGAAATGCTCAATCATACCCCGGAAACTCAAAACGTTCAAATTTCAGGAATTGGGGGAAAAATTGAACACACGAGCAAAGTAATTCGACTTACATTATGCTCGTTGATAGGAAATTTCTCTCTCGATGCAAATTGTTGCATCTTAAATAAAATTACTGATGTCAGTCCTCGAGTTCGAGTAAAACAAAGTAACTTGCAGATCCCTCAAGGCATTGAACTTGCTGACCCTAAGTTTGATCAACCTGCTTGTGTAGATATGTTACTTGGTGCTGATATTTATTATAAGATTTTATCAGGTGACCTATTAAAAATTAATGAACACTCCCTCACTTTGGTTGGAACACACTTTGGATATCTCTTGTCTGGCCTAATTCCTCCGGATACTTTCTCAACACAGGCTATATTTGATGTCACCAACAACCGCAGCTGTCTTCTTGCTCGGAATTCAGATCTTGCTCTTGATTCATTGTTGGAAAAATTTTGGAACATGGAGAACTGCCCTCAATCCTCGGAGAAAATTTTATCTCCAGAAAATAACTTTGTGGAAACTAATTTTCGCGAAACTACCGTTATTTTGAATGACGGTTCTTTTCAAGTGAATCTTCCCCTCAAAATTCCTGAAAAATTATTTCCTCTGGGAGAATCATTCTTTCTCGCCAAAAAACGATTCCTTAATTTAGAAAGGCGATTCGAAAAAAATCCAAATTTATTTCAGGAATATAAAAATTTTATTGATGAATATCTCTCTTTAGGACACGCGCAAGTCGTTCCTCTCTCATTAAAAAACATTCACGGCCATAACAAATATTTTCTACCCCACCACTGTGTTATCCGCGAACAAAGCACAAGTACGAAATTGCGAGTAGTGTTTGACGGCTCTATGAAATCGTCATCAGGATTATCATTAAATGATACAATGTACAAAGGATACACAGTTCAACCTGATCTTTATGATATTTTGCTGAGATTCCGAAGCTTCAAATTCGTCCTCACTGCCGACATTGAGAAAATGTACAGACAGGTCCGAGTGAACCCACGTCAGACATACTTGCAAAATATCCTCTGGCGTAGTAATCCCGCTCATGATTTTCAATGTATTGAGCTGCAAACAGTGACTTATGGTACTAACTCCGCTCCATATTTAGCCACTCGTGTTCTAAACGAGCTGGCATTCTTAAATAAGGAAGAATACCCTCTTGCCGCTGACACAATCCTCTCACAGTGCTATGTTGATGATCTTTTGTGTGGTCAAGACACTCTCGATAAGTTAAAAGACCTGTATTTTCAATTGAACGAAATATGCAAAGGCGCGCATTTCAAGCTGCACAAGTGGTGCTCAAATTCGAATTCTCTTTTAAAAATCGTTAATTCTTCTAATGTATCCTCCGACGTACAGGCATATGACATTAAAGTAGAAGGAGTTTCAAACAAAGTTCTAGGTATTTCATGGAATTCAGAAGCTGACGTATTTTCTATATCGCTACCCGATGTTGCAATTTGCACATCAGCCACTAAACGGGATGTTTTATCAAAAATCGCGCAAATGTTCGATCCATTAGGATTAATTGGCCCTATAATAGTTAATGCTAAAATATTCATGCAAGATATTTGGAAGGCAAAGATTGGCTGGGACGAATATTTGAACGATAGTCTTCTCACAATATGGAATTCTTATTTTCAAAATATTACTCAACTCAAGTGTTTAAAAATACCCCGGTATATATTCCACGATAACCAGATATCTTCTGTTGAACTTCATGGATTTTGTGATGCCAGTCGCAAGGCCTTTGGATCTTGTGTCTACCTGAGAACTATTTACCTTGATAATTCTGTATCATGCTACTTAATTACTTCAAAATCTCGAGTAACTCCAATCAAGGAAGTTACAATACCCCGATTAGAACTCTGTGGTGCTCTATTGCTTTCAACTTTGATTAGTCGTGTCAAATCCATATTTAAGGATAGGTATAATTTTCATAGCGTGAATCTTTGGACAGATTCAGAGATTGTTCTAGCATGGCTAAAGGCTGATTCTTCACGATTCAATGTGTTTGTTGCTAACCGAATATCGCAGATCCAATCTCTCACTAATAATTATGTTTGGCGGCACATCCCTGGTGCAGAAAATCCTGCTGACTGCCTCTCTCGTGGTACAACTTCTGAGCAAATAATGAACTCTTCTCTTTGGTGGAATGGACCACAGTTTCTACAAACCTTTGATTTCGACTTAGACTCACTAAATATCAAGGTACCTCCAACTCACGAAGAAGAAAGAAAGGAAAGTACTGTCTTACTCCTCAGGAATGATAATTTCTGGGAAACACTGTTTGACCGATTTTCCAATTATTCCAAATTACGAAGATCTATTGCATTTATATTAAGGTTTATTAATAATAGTCGCGCTAATTCTCAAAAACTCATTGGACCTCTCACTGTTGATGAATTAAGAAACTCTGAACTTTTCATAATAAAAACAATTCAGTCTACGTATTTCTCAAAAGAACTAAACGAGTTAAAAAGTCCAGCTCGGAAGATATCGGACAAACAAATATTAAAATTAAATCCATTTATCGATGGAGAAAATGTAATCAGAGTAGGAGGAAGATTATCACAAGCTCTAGTCCCATATGATCAAAAATTTCCCATTTTATTGCCCTCAAAAAATCGCGTTGTCAAACTACTCTTACTTAAAGAGCATATTAGACTCGGACACGCTGGTCCTCAAACTGTCTTGTCAAATCTTCGCCTCCGATATTGGCCCCTAAATGGATTAAGGGAAATCAAAAAGGAATGCTTGCAATGTATGACATGTTGTAGATTCAAAATAAAAAACCATCAACAGCTGATGGCTGATCTCCCAAAAGACAGAGTCATTCCCTCTCGGCCATTTTCACGCACAGGTGTAGATTTTGGTGGCCCCTTTTTTGTGAAATCGTCGAGTCTTAGACGCTCAAAAACCGAAAAATGCTACATAGCATTATTTGTTTGCATGGTTACCAAGGCTATACATATAGAATTGGTGTCAAGTCTCTCTACAGAAGCATTTTTGGCTTCATTAAAACGATTCATTTCAAGGCGAGGAAATCCACATGTCATTTTTAGTGACAATGGAACAAATTTCTTAGGTGCACGAAACCAACTCAGAGAATTTTACACTCTATTCAAGTCTAAGTCAACCCAAGAACAGATAAATGATTTATTGGTATGCAATGAGATAAACTGGAAGTTTATTCCCCCACATTCTCCCCATTGGGGCGGCTTATGGGAAGCCGGAATCAAAAGTACCAAATATCATTTAAGGCGATTAGCAGGACAGCAGAATTTTACTTTTGAGGAGTTATATACAATACTCACACAAATTGAGGCAATATTAAATTCACGACCTCTTCTCCCCTTATCCTCTGACCCCTCAGATTTTACTTGTTTAACCCCGGGACATTTCTTGATAGGAACTTCGTTGACCTCTTTCCCAGAAAAAGACCTTTCCAATATTTCAGAAAATAGACTTAATCGCTGGAACGATGTGTCAAAATTCAACAACAGTTTTGGTCCAAATGGTCTAAAGACTACCTCAATCTTCTCCAGAATCGACCAAAATGGCTATACCCCTCACCAAACCTTCAAGTTAACGACATAGTTTTCTTAAAGGAAATTAACACTAAACCTCTAGATTGGCCTCTGGCTAGGGTACTTGAAATTATACCCAGTAAGGACGGAAATGTTAGACTTGTTAAAGTAAAATCTAAAAATGGCATTTTAACAAGAAACGTCACTAAATTATGTCCCCTACCCAAACTCGATAACTAGCCCTAATCATAAAATAATTTTCTTTATAGTATGTTTCCTTTAAATTTTGATTTAAGTTTGTCGCGTACGCTAAGAATTAGATTGTTTAGATATATTGTAAAAATGCAATTGATGATTCATCATACCTCAGTTACCCTGTTGTTTGCGGTTAAAGGCAGAGCCTTTAAGGCGGGGAGTATGTTCGAATACAATTCAAACGCATTTGTTTTTTTTACTATTTTGATAAACACCTAGTATTAGTTTTGTAAATATGTTAAAATTATCTTACTACCTAATGTATACAAAATAGAAAGTTGATCACGAAGGGATGCTTTCACACGCTTCGCTAAATTGACCTGCAAAACACTTAAAATACCACCCTTGACGGCCATGTGTTTTTTTTTTTGTCTTGTTCGAATGGCAGATCTTAACTTTCTATTTTGTCACGGGAGACGCCCGTGAACCCTCTCAGGCAGCATCACGCCTATTAATTTAGTCTCTGAATTGTACATTTTTCGCTAATTCTCGCAATATTACTCTCGCCTCAGTTAGGCAATGTTATTTCTCTCTCTCACCTATTTATTGTAGGTATTTTATATATCAAGTTTACCTTTAAGTTACTGGGAAGCTGCAGTGAATTTGTTTAATTTCAGTTTGATTTACCGTTTTTAAAGTTTTATCATTTGCCAATATACGTGTTGTTGTTGACCCTAGTAGTTTTTTTGCGACGTGTACTGGATCCACTTTGAAATTAATTACACATTCGAGAGTAATTTGAATATTACTCTCAATTTTGGATTTGGTGCTCTCAAGCAGTAGTACCGATACATTCTGATTGCGTTGGTTTTTCTCAGGGGTAAGTTTATTTTGTTTAGATCGTACGCGAAATACCCGACCGATTCTCATGCGCGTGCACTTCGCGTGTAGAACTGCGAAAGTGCGAAATTAGTGCAGAACCGCGACCTAGGGACAACAAACGGCAACAATGTTGGGTATGCGAGTTGACTAGTGGGGCTTAGAAGATGGTGTTGTTAGATGGCAGATAGGGAATTATCGTTGCAACCGTTAAAAGTTATCGTACATTATTGTTCAATCCACCTTGAAACAAACATGAAGTTTACCGTATGATAGAAAAAAAACGGCAAACGGCGTCCAGTTGGCTGGGAAATGACGATCAATGACATTTCCCATATAAATTTACATATAAAATGACAGCGATTTTCATTTCATAGCCATCGCTGACGCCTTCCAAAAGATGTATTTCTATTCAAAAAAGTAAATAATAAAACGACATAAACAATAATGTACGATAATGACTGTACGATATTTAAGAATACGTTTTGTTCGATAATTCGCTACACAGAAAAAAGTTAATACAAAGAGGGGTTAATTATTCTGTGAAATAATTTATTTTATTACATTTTTACGTCTACTGAGATCTAAAATAGTAATTTAATGGTATGGAATTCCCACAAAAGTGTGCGATTCCTATAGTCTCTACAAATAGGGGATTCCCCGAAGTCCATACTTTTAAACAAACGGATAGAATGTTATCAAGTATCAAAGACTAAAGATTATATTAAACCAAGAACGGTAAACTGTTCTTGATATTAAACAGGTTGCCTCGTAACTTTTGGACCAATAGGAGCGAAGCGCCAACTACATACGTCACAGGTATGCTACAGACTACAGAACGTATAAACTCACAGATAAAGGAATAACAATTAAAATGCAACGGACAAAAAGAGATAAATGGACAATGAATAAAGAAAACAAACAACTGAAAACTATGGACGCCATACACAATGAATATCGACTCGGAAATGCACTGTCGGACTATCGGCAGTTTTTATCCCTTTATCTATACTCGGCCGCATACCTGGGACGTAGTTGATGACGTCTCCGATTGGCGGATCGAGTTAGGAGACAACCTTATCTTTTAATAACTTTAAAAATGTTTAAGTTTTTAATAAAACTATTTTTGTTTCAAGGTCACTGGTTCAGTAATGTATGATAATTTTTAACGGTCGCAACGATAATTCCCTATTTGACAACACTGATGCGCATCCAAATTAATTGTCAATTTTTTTTCATATTTTCATTTCATATTTAGTTATATTATATTATTTATTCTCATCTTTAGTCTAACAGGCTTACATCTATAAATTAATTCTGTGCTATAAATATGTGAATAATTACGAGCAGAGACGGGATCATCAAATTCATAAAAAATATTTGCCTGCAAACTTTAAAGGAATGGCGAATGCGCCAGGTTTATTGTCACAATTCGATTAAGTTCATTGCCTTTAAAATTAAAATATACCCCAAGAATATAAGAAAACTCCAATAGCAGATGTACGAAAAACTTTGTCAGTAGTATAACAACGTTTTAAAATAAAGATCATTTTGGCGCCCTTTGACCACTAGGAACTTTATTGTTAGATTGATGCGAGCGCCATCTAGGAAACTGTTTAAATACGAGAAACAGGACAGCGATCTAAAGTTACTAAGCTTTTTTTCCTTTCAGTTTGGCGAATTTTTTGATAGAATGCGCTGCGAAAAAAAACGACGTCAGGCGTCGAAGGAAGCGACGCTGACGGAGACATCGCCAATGAATTGTGAGCAGGGTTTCCACAAAAATACAGGCCGAGGCCGAGGCTGATAACATTATATTGATTTTTCAAAACGTTTGTTGAACCAATCAGAGTTGAACTATTTTTAAAGGGTGAGGTTGTCTGGTTTTTCGAAGCTAGTGCAAATTAGATCTAAATGTGAAGTGATAGATAACATATATATCTTTGGCGAGCGAGAGCTCGCGGGATCGTCTGATGCAGGTGGCTACTCTTTTCCGTGAGTCCACCACCTTGCTGGGAGAGACCATGGAATCGGGCGGAGGCGGAGGCGGAGCACCATCGGATACAGCACCTGGACCATTATCTTACGATAACTATAATCACCCGCTCAACTTTCAAAACAAATATAAACTGTGAGTATTGTCGCAAATCCCAGTCTGTAGGATATACCCCAATCATAATATGTAAACATCGCCTCTCGCTCATTCATTCACACTATATGTAGATAATGAGCGCTGTTTACACCACTGTATTATAAATTTCAACGTTGATTTCGTCTCCAATAATCGAGAGCTATGTTTGTTTATGTTATAACCTATTAGTTTATTAAACTGATTAAATCACGGAGTATTTGTATTTATCTCTACTGAAAAAGTAAAGCAGCTAGTATAAGTTTTCTAAAGGAACACTTCTTATTTATTTTATCACATAGAAAGTTGCACTAGTGAGTTTTTTATTTTGTATAATTTACAGGATATTAACACATACTTTGTCAAATTTTAAATACTGAAAAATACTTGAGTATTGTTTTTATGTTTCCCTGTGACAACTAGCTGAGTTCTAAATGGCAATTCATAGCATCCGGGCCTCAAAGAATTTTGCAGTTCTATTAACTTGTTAATCTTGGTAAATTTAACTGTTGTTATGTATATCTTATAGGAACATGAAATTGGAGCCACATGATGATGGTTATGAAACAAGCGCAGATATGCTCTTGAATCCTGCTAACATTAACCATAATCATGAGGTAAAGAGAGAGAAAATGGACGATCCTTACAGTTTTATTGATGATGATCCCATTCCGATGCTTCCATCAGCTCAAGGTCCTCCTCATATGATGCACCCATTACCTCCTCTAAACAACCAAATTTTGCCTGGGCCAAAGAAGAGAGGGAGAAAGAAGAAGATAAAACCAGAGTGAGTAAAAGTCATTTTATAGTACAGAATGAATATTCCTTTATCAAACTGTGTTAATATAGACCAGGAGAGTTCAATCAAGAGTTAAATGGAGGCATTCCTCGGCCTGTAAAAGAACGGAAAAAACACGACCGTTTTAATGGGATGCCTGAAGAGGAGGTGTCTAAAAGGACTCTACCTGATCATCTTACAGAAAACTTAGATATTATTATTGTACGTCAATCTGAATGTAAAGTGTATTTTTTTAACACTATCTGCTTCTAGATTGGTATAAATCCTGGGCTTTTCGCTGCATATAAAGGACACCACTATGCCGGTCCAGGAAACCATTTTTGGAAATGTCTTTATTTATCTGGTTTAACCCCCCAACAAATGTCGGCTGATGAAGATTATAAATTGCTGCAGGTAGTGTGTTATGTTCAATTTGGTCAGCAGTTTACTCACGCTAATATTTTAGGTTGGCATAGGCTTTACAAACATGGTGCAACGTGCCACGAAGGGGAGCGCAGATTTAACTCGAAAGGAAATTAAGGAGGGTAGCCAAATTCTTTTAGAAAAATTAAGAAAATTCAGGCCTAAAATTGCCGTGTTCAATGGCAAATTAATTTACGAAGTTTTTTCTGGGAAGAAAGACTTCAAGTTTGGTAGACAACCAGATTTAGTTGACGGGACAAATACAGTAAGTATAAACCATAACCGAAAATTTAATTTAGTTTCACTTTCCAAAGTGTCGCTTGTATTAAAAACCCAATTCTGTTTAAAAGATTTTGGTCTAATGATCTGTTGCATTTACTCGTTTAATAGCAGCCAAATTTTTGCCACTATAGGCTTGGTGCATTCTCCGCCGGTGTTGCCACCGCCGGAGAACTCGTAAATAACGAACACATATAAATACACGGGTTTAAATGGCGAGTAAACGAAAAAATTGGTATATAATTATTCTAAAAGTGTCAGAAAGTGTAATTTGTGGAAATTCTAAACAAAAAAAATAAAAAGGTAAATATTTTGATATCTTCCGAAGGTCTAACTTGCATTATAATTTATTATTCCAGTTAAAAAATGTTTAGATAGTTCAACTACGGTAGCGAGTATAGTTTTATCACCGGTTTTGCTAGTGGGGCATAATTGGAGCTATTTCGGCTATTACGAAATTTTTTAAAGGTATATAAATATAATTTTAGAAGATGTTCATAAAACATTTAATCACTAGTTGATTAAAAAAGTATACCATTAATATTGCAAATTATATTTCATCCTCTCATAGTATATTGCTATTTAATTTTTTTGATTATGTAACGAGCACTTTGTTTACTCACTTGTTTCGTCGAACTGCTTGAATCCATTTTTGCTATTGATCAAATCGGTGTGAGAAACTACGAAGCTATAAAATGTTGTTTCGGGAGAGTTGAATATCCGGGAAAGTTGAGTTATTGAATGTTATTGCACTCAACAACGCCCTAATTACGCTCTCCTTTACGCGTTAACATTTTTTGGGCAATTTTATTAACATTTGAAATTGTCACAGCACAACATGACGCCTAGTTTGAATTCTTTTTCACTTATTTTTTACTAGCCGAAATAGCGTTACATCACACAAACCTCGCACCTGAGTGTTTATTAGTATCAATAACGGCACTAACAAAAACTAAAATACTTTAATATTATGACAAAACCCCGATTTCAATATTATTTTAATGCGATCGACATGACGGCGGCGTGAACTATATGTTGATCATTTCTGATTTCTGCCGTTGAGTGCGCTGCGGTCGGAATTTGTTGAAATCAACTGAAATGCACCAAGCCTATAACAACTCTTATATCAAACGAATGAAAATTTATTGCTTGATAAAGGCTTTTTTCTACTTATACTAATACGAAATCATAGCTGATTGCTTATTTTGATGCAAAAGAGGTAACTAGGCAAGCTAACTAAAGAGGTGATTGTTTCAGCATATGTGGGTTATGCCATCATCGAGTGCGAGATGTGCGCAACTTCCAAGGGCAGCGGATAAGGTTCCCTTTTACGCTGCCCTAAAGAAGTTTAGGGATTACTTAAACGGCCTCATTTCCGAGGTGGACGAAAACGAAATGGTGTTCAGTGAGCCGAAAGTCAAGTCGTGCTACGAAGCTGAACCCAAAGCCGACCTCTATCCATCAGAACTAACTGACATTAGCAATGCTGTGATCAAAAACGAGGATGGTACAATAATAGCGTGTAAGAAGAAGAGGGGCAGGCCGAAAAAGATCAAGGTGGAGGGAGAGGAGGCTCCGCCGAAAGCGGTGGTGAGGAAGCCGGCACCGCCGCAGAATAGCAACAGCTGTGATTTCCCAAAGAAGAAGCGGGGCCGGCCGAAAAAGGTGAAAATGGACGGCGCGGACGGTGGCCGTGCCGAGAGCAGCGCTCCCGCCAGCCTGGCACCCTGCTTCTCTAGTCCCTCGCCTAACAGCTTCTACGCTATGGGTCCCGCCATGACGCCTCCCAGCAACGCGGCGCCCATGTACTCCGCCCAGCCGGGAGGCTACGGCCAGTCGCCGCGACCGGCCTACAGCCAGTCGCCGCGGTTGCAGTACAGCCAGTCGCCGCGGCCACCCTACAGCCAGTCGCCTCGGCCGCCCTACGGCAGCCAGTCGCCGCGGCCTCACTCGCAGCCCTTCACGCACTCGGACCTGAGCTCGGAGATCAGCGCCGCCATCAGCTCGGAGCAGCTGGGCTCGCCGGCTTCGCCCGTCGGTCCGCCAGACTTCGAGCCGCCCACCAGCATGGCGGACGACGCCGAGTGCCGCCTCAGTCCCGCACCCTCCTCCACCAGCGACAACCCGCACCACTACCACATGAGTCCAGCGCCCTCGACCAACGGAGAGCAGGCGCGCCACTACTACCAGGCGTACAACATGGACCCACCGCCGCAGGAGGCGCAGTACCAGGGCCAGAAGAGCCAAGACATCACATCGAAGAGCCTGTCGGGACTGGAGTCGCTGGTGGACCAGATCCCCAGCATAACTGACGGAGAGGCGCCTTTAGGCGAGGCTCCGGATCAGTACCCTAGCCAGATGAATAGTTACCCGGTGGCGTCGACGAGGGCCAGCCCGGTGCCGTACAACTACCCTCCTTCGTCAGGCTACCCCTTGTACCCTACGCCTACTTGGAGCGGGCATTACGAGCCAATGCCGCTGGGCTACCCGCAGATTCCGTACGCGCAGAGCTACGGGCCTGGGATTCACGTGCCCAATCCCAATTATCCCTATTACAGTTATCCTCAGCCCACTCCGCCACATCCTCCGGGCTATCCTCCGTATCTGGGCGGGTTTTGATCGGTCTCTGTCGCGGTGTTTTCATGTTGTGTACCTGTAACATATGTTCGGCTAGTACCTAGCAAGTCTGTCCGCTTCAGTACATAGTATGGGAAATTTAAGTGACTTTATATGTGAAAAGTGATTTGCAGAAATATTTCACATTATCGGTGTTCGATTTTGGTCCATGTTTGATCCTTTCTGTTCAACTTAGATTAAATATAGTAAAAGACGCAGCGCGCCAACACAATAGCGTTGCAAGTTTTGTCTGCGTTATGAACAAGAAACAACTTTGTTGAGACTAGAGTAGCGTAGTACTCAGACAACGACAATTGTTTCTAATGTACATCTTGCGGACGTTTTAGCTCAGGTATGCCCTATCTTTTCAATATTTAATCTAAGGTAGTTGTTCCCACCTTTCCATTTTTCAAATGTTGGTCGTTTGTGCAGGTACTTTCCAACGCACATTGTTTTGTTGCTTTTTGAAAAAAACAAATGGGAGACTTAGTAAATGTAGGTAGGAAATGTAGATTTTAAGGAGACTTTTGATTTTGAATCAATATTTCGACACTTTCCCTCTTTAATATTTCAAACGTTTATTATAGATTTTTTGCCTTTTACTATTATTTCAGAACTGAAAAATCTGCTACTGGATTTAGAATCCAAAGACACAAATTTGCCTAGCCAATACGTGTGTTAAGAAGTGTTTTTGTTGTTGTGAGTAAAAGCAAATTTGTTTATGAGTAAAGAACCCCTATGAAGTTTATGTCCATGGATTCTAAACACATCGGCATTTTACAAAAATATCTTCAAGTTTGTTTAAATTGCATTAAATTACGTCATTGAAGTAACTAACCACGTCAAATATAATTCGACAATCTCAAAGACTTCTAATCTGTATCTCTCGAACTAAAATTTCTAAAAAGGCAAAATATATTTACCAAAAATCTCTAATAAGCTTTTGTGAAAAACGCTGAAAGTGGCTTTATTATGTATTCAAGTTAAAAGAATGTTTCAAGAAAATATAACTGCGGGGAGCGAAACAATAAACATACTGTTTTATTCCAAAGATAAGATATTTTAATTCGATCAAGTGCAGAATAATTTTCATTTGGGTTCTCTTCTCGGTTTATTTGAACGGTAAAAAGAATAATAATGCGTAAAATTTTTGGTGTTATCACTTTTCAAACATATTATCTCTGTAAATGTTCTACTTTCGATGTAAAGTTTCCCATATTAAACGATGGTCACTTGCATTTTGAAACCAGAGACTTGCACAGGGTAAATGGTGATATTTTTTTGTCATAAGTATTTTCTCTAAACTTTGGATGTTAGTTAGGTCGAGGGGTTTGTGCATTAATCTACATTCGGATCTCAAGTCGATTGTGTATGTGTGTTATTTGAGTGTTCGGCACTGGACTTATACGTAACGTTTTTCAAACAAACAAAAAATGCTATTGAATTTTTACATCAGAACGCTGTATCATTTCGGAAGAGCTTCGTTTGTTACATTTGAAAATCTTTTAGTTCGATTGGATTTAAAAGTTATCAATTTAGAGCCGCTCTACATAATGCAAAAATAAATTAGTAATTATAGGAGATTTTACCGATATAGGGTTACTCATTACACCTGAAAAATGTGATAATTTGACATTAAGGCGACTTTAAATTCGAATTAACGTAATAAGTAATGTTTATTTCCATTTTTTTTTGTGGAATATGAACATAAAAATATGGAAATAAATCAGACATTAAATATGATTGCCACGCTTTTTTCTTGGTTAAATAGTATTTTTGGTTATTTTTTACCTACGTTAATACTTATAATAGAGGGCGTAAACGAATGAAATGTACTTATTTACTACGCCCTGTGCATACATCATTTTAGGGTAAGTTTAAGAGTTTATTTATAGGTTAAATTATAAGGAACTTTATTAGTTATTTTGGTACATAAAATATATTTATTTATTTATGTTATTTATTTGGACAACAAGTCTAGTCCATTCGATTCTAGTCTGTTTAAGATTATAGAATACTATTTGTCTTGTCTATATCGAAAGTTTATTTGCTTTATTATTTTCCGAATTGTATATATAATATAATATATATTATTTCGTTATAAATGTTAACTTCGTTATGTATCAGGTGATACATGCTAAGAGTAGAATTCCTCTGATGTATTCATTCAATAACAAAAATTCTCTTTCCTTATTAACAAAGTGTTTGGATTTCAAACTTGTATGCTATCATTATTATTATACCAGAAACTCGCTTTTAATTTTTGATACTTCAAATTTAACCTACACATGTGTAATGTCCAGAGCTTTTGTTATCCCATCATATAGCTGCAGCTCATTCATGTGATTACATTAAAAATACATTTGATCCTTAAATAAATGAAAAAAAGAGTATTTTCCACATCCTGGTTGTCCGACATGCGTGTCCTACATATCTCTGCACCTGAACCGTTGCACATCATATTGGATTAAAGAGAGATGGAAATAGTGACTGACCAATGAAAAACCAAGGTATTTGGACTACCTTAATCGTTTAAAAAATTATATCTCCTTGTGTCTTGTAAATAATAATGATATACGTAAATTCGTCATTATCTAAGGTTTTCAAATTTATTATTGGTGTTTATAATAAATAGAAAAACTCTTTTTCGTGTTGACTAGATAATCCTACTAAATGGACAATAAGTTGTCTAAGTTCATTTGTATTTCTTTTATAAAAACAAAATACAGGGTGTGTAGAGTGCAAAATCTATATTGTATATCAGTCTTTTCTAAAATCGTTTAAAAAAATGATATATATATTATATATCGCCTGTCCTTCTGAATACCTTGTGTTTGCAACTATTTAAAATAAATAAAAATTACTGTAATTATGTATAATCGAAGGAAAAAGTGCGAACCAAATTATAGCATAATTTTAAACTATTAGGATAAGGTACTCAATTTTAGTTAATGTTGAGAAACTAATTAGATTTTTGTAAATTATAGGGTAAATGTATATGCGAAGTTTGAGCCGTTGTTTTTCATCTTTGAGAAACGTTTTTTACACTATTTCCTTCTCTTTTCGTTCAAAATATTTTTCCATCAGAGTTGCAAGTGGTTGGGTTTTGATAGTCACTGAACTGATATTTATTTAAAGATTTTTAACTGTTCGTTGTGTTAAAGTGTATTATTTTATATATTTCGATTGTTATACACGTATAATACTCTTATTTAGTTTAAATTTGGAAAATTCTCCCATAGTTTTTTTGTACTTTTAAACAGTATTAGCCATTTAAGAACAAAAAAAATAAATTTGGTTTAATTCTGATGTTACGTGTTTACTTTCCAAAAGAGGTCTATAATCTATGAATAGTGATCAGAGAGAGCCAATCAATGTGTCACTACAGAAATGTAGAAATTGAAGTATGAACGTTACCCTTTAGAAATAAGGGATTTTAAAAAAAGCGCTCAAATTTCAACCAAAGAAGAGGTTTGAAAACAGGCGATTGATTAGTGAAAGTTACAAACTAAAAATGTTGTTGGACAACTGTCAAAGTCATATGGTGTGTCAATACCAGCGAGTCTCTTTGTTTTCCTCGATTTTCTTCGTAAAAATAATTTAGAAAATTAGAAAGTTCTACTAGATGTCCGTCTAATATCTAATAAATGATAGATTTGCTTAGGAGAATAATTAAGACCATTTCTAATATGCGTTTGAAGGGTTTTGTTCTGACAAAATCATGATGGAGGTAGTTAATCACATTTGTAAATAAATGCAATATAAGCATATTATAACAATATAAAAATGGGCAATTGCTTGAAGAGATCTACAACAGATGATATATCTCTTCTAAGGGGAAGTGATAGTATTAGAGAGGCATCTTCAGATCCTGTTGGATTACCAAGTTATCAGGTAAATACAAGAATAAACAAAATATCTTGCTCCAGGAATTAGCTATATTTTATTATAGGAAGCCTTATCTGTGCAAGTTCCCCCTCCTTTATATCATCCTTCACCTAGTGTTACAAGATCTGTAACACAGTTAACAGAAGAAGAGCAAATTAAAATTGCAAAACGTATCGGACTGATTCAACATCTTCCAACTGGAAAATATGATGGATGTAAAAAAATACGAGAATGTGTTATATGTATGGGTGAATTTATGGTTAGTGAATTTGTTGTGTAATATCATTTATAGCTGATTTGAAATATTGATATTTAGGTAGGAGATGCACTTCGCTATCTTCCTTGTATGCACACCTATCATATGACATGCATTGATGATTGGCTCATGCGGAGTCTTACATGTCCCAGCTGCATGGAGCCTGTTGATGCTGCTTTACTCACTAGCTACGAGACCAATTGAAGGACAGTGCCTTTTGTATAGAATAATTTTGAGTATCAAATACATATTAGTAGGCAAATCTGTTAAATTTTGTCCTCTTGAGTGGCTTTGCTGGTCCTCACAGAAAATATAATTATTTTTAAATCACTGATATAAAATAACTTTATATATTTCTATGAGTGCATCTATAGCGCGTCACATTTCTTTAAACTAGATGTATCAATATAATGATATATGCATTGTTTAAAGGTTGCGATATTATCCAACATCACTAAACAAAAACTCTTCAGATTTGCCTTTCTATTTGTAATAAATTTGTAGTGTTATATAGTAAATACTGTGATCTGGATTTCCTGTTGGCACGAATGTATAATTTTTGTGTGGCTGTGAAAATTGTTTATTTCTAAAATAATTATACTTAACAAATTTTGGAGTTTAAAATTATCCAAAAACAAAAAAAAATAATATATAGTTTAGAAAATAATTTTTATATTTTAGATTCGTATGTATATTTGTTTCAGAGAATAAGGAACGTACTAATTCTGACATAATATTAGGGCTATTATTTCCCATAAGTGAAAAAAATTACAGGTTTGAAAGTGCGTGTTCAAAAAGTAAAATAAAAAAAAATAGTCATTTTAGATGGTGATAGTTCTTGTGTAATATTTATAAATCAAAATATAAGTAACTATTAAAACTTATTTTATCCAAGATATAGAGTTTAAAAGCAAAGTGATTATGTTGTCACCTGTAGAATTATTGTAATGTTCAATAAACCTATATAATAATGTTAGAGGATTTATCAGCTGCTTTGCTTTTTATCCGTTCCTTATATGGGTTTATATAGGTATATACATTAATATCCAATTTTGCAATAAACGATATTAAAGTTTAGAGCTTTATAATTTAATAAATAGAATATTATTTATTTAAACCTCGTTTGGCTTCGTACTATATATAAGAAAGAAAATTTAAAAAACATATAATTAACCTTTTTATTTACTCTAGTAACTTGAACTAAAACATAATGAGAATTTTCGGACCCTGTCATAAGCGCATAAAAAAAATAAGAACAAAGAAAAGGGTGAATAACAATAACAATTATTAATTATTATTATTATTGATCACTTTAATACAGGTTTCAGAAATCAAGACAAAACAATTTATAAGGGTTCCCTTGCTCTTAAGTACTATTCCGGCTATAACTTGTATTTTGACATAGAAGAACATGATACTGTTAACTGAAAATAAACAATGTTTTAATGTAACAAATTAAACAGCACAACAGAATACTGAATATCCTCAGTATTCTGACAAGAAGCGCTAGGATTTCCTCATTGTTAACATCGTATTAATCTCCCAAACAATACGTCTCAGATGGTCAATGATTTCTTTCAACTGCTTATTCTTTAGAACCACTTGTTCCATTACCTCTTTGCTCTCCTCACAAGCAGAACGATATGCCTCTGAATTTTTTTTCTCCTCATGTTTAGGATCCAATTCATCTTTAAACGGAATAAGACTTTCAATATGTGTATATTCCATGCCCTGTATCTGACAATTTTCATTACATTTTTCGTAAATTAACCGCAGACGCTTAAAAAGGACTCTGATTGTACGCAACAATTCTTGAACTTTAGCTTTTTTCTCATTACTGGCTGTGGAGGATTGACTAGTACCTGCAGGAGGCTAAAAATATCAAAAATAGTTACAGTAAGAAACAGACTGGATGTAAAATATTACTTGAATAGTTTTTAGTGTTTGGAATACTTCTTGAGTTCTACTGACAATATCTTGAACTGTTTCTTGACCTAATCGACATAAGGAGGCCGTGTTAAATTCCTTGGACTGTTGCTGTTGTTGAGGAATATGAGCAGAAGGCGGTGTGGGAGTAACGCCAGATGCCTGTGATTGAGGCATTTCATGATGATTCAAACTTGGATTGAATTCTAATTGAAAGTGAATAACAATAATACAAATATTCATGGAGAAAAAGGAAATTAACTAACCATTCATTTGAGTATTTATAGGACTCATAGCTCCATTCATGGGGTTATTCATTTGTACAACCATAGGTGCTCCTAGTTCAGCTCCACCCATTTGATTAGGGATAGCATTTTGAATATTTGGTGTTAATGGGTTTTGTATAGGACCTAAACAACATTACTTAAGTTTAGAAAATATTGGAATTAAAATAAATAATTAGAAAATGAGGAATAAATACCATTCATTGGTGCAGTTATCGAAGTCATTGGGCCATTCATAGGGTTGTTCATTTGACCCATCATGGCAGTGCCTAATTGGGGCATCTGCCCAGCCATTTGGTTTTGCATTGTCCCAGCTCCAAGCGTATTTTGTAAGGAACCTAAAACGATACTTCAGAATTAGAAGATGATGGAGACAACAGTTTGAACGACAAACTTACCTGGATCGAAACAATTTCTAAGCGCTCCTTGACTGCTGTTATTTAAGTTTTGCATAAAGTGATGAGGTGGTGCAGCCATTTTCAAATTAATATACAATAAATCCTTGCAACATTTATTTACATCAAAACGTTACTGCTATAACTGTTTTTAGGCATGTTATCAGAATGTTATGTTCCGTGTTTTTAGGTTTTTAGCAGAGGTTTTTAGGTTAGCAATAAAAAAACAATATTTGTGACAGCCGATTAGAAAGGGTATTGCACAGCACTAGTACCCATGTTTACAATAATCAAGGCTAGAGTATCATATATAAAAGATATACTTCATATATCAAATTTGATATAGTAAGTGTCCTTAAAGTCACTAGTCGGCACTAGTGTCCTTGTACCGCTATCGCCATCTATATATTTGTATTTTCAGTATTGATCGATGCACAGTGTCGAGAATGGAGAACTTTTTGTAGCAGAATTCTCTTAAACCACAGCTTAAAACCGTGCATAAACCTGTCAACTGTCAAAAGTTTTGAAATATAAAAATTATTTTGAGGTATTTGTTTTTGTTTATCTGTGGCTTATATTAATTATATTTTTGAATAAGAAATTTATATGGACACGTTAATAAAGGGAAATAAATGAGAAGTGTGGAAATGTTTGTATTTGATTTAAAACTTTATATTTTATGATATTGGGCTCTTATGGGATTAATCCCGAGACATGGCACGGCAATCACCTCAACCGTTTGAAAACCCAATGTTCCGAGAAATCCATAAAAATACATGGCTTAAGAAAATCTCAACAAACACTACTAAAAAGGTGGGTGTAGTGATAGAATATTAATATTCATTTTATGCTTACGCTATAACATTTTATAGAAACGCGAGAAACTTTGGGTTGTATTTTGTATTCACGATGATACAGATGCATATCTTGAATCATACACAGATAGTAAACTGGCCGTATTCCATAAACCAGAATGGTTCGTCTGTTTAAATCATGTCCAGCATATATCACCGACAATTTGTGCCCAAGATCAAGAATACGAATTTGTCCTAACATTAAGTAGTGAAGTAGTCAGATTAGCAGCTCCCACATGGGAACAAATGTTGGATTGGGTAGAAGGTCTCAAAGCCAAGTTATTTGAATTGAAATTACTCAGTCCTAAAGAAAATGTATATACTAAATTGCCAGAAAAACCGTCTAATGTTCTATTATTGGCTACCCGTGATCCAACATCACCATTACCGCCCCCTCCAGAAACTCCAGCAGAAGTTTTACCAGGAATAGAAACGTCAGATAACGAAGGAGCCCCTGCGAGAGAAAGAATAAATATATTATGTTACGAGCGGCAAAGATCTGATTCTCAAAGTAGAGCGACGATTCAAAGAACAAGTATAACTCCACATGAACCGCGCAGTGCTGGAGCAGCTAGTGCTCGTATTTTTAATTTCGATCAATTACACCATGTTATTGGGGCAGCTAATTCATTATCATCAAATAATGTACATTATGAGCATTTATTTCAAGTGCCAGGTAAGTTTTTTCATGAATTAAATTGTCTAAAAAGTTCTTGTGAGAAATTGTTCTTGTTTCAGGTCCGTCCAGTAGAATGAATCAAATTCAGCACACAGTTAGAGAACCGAGTTTAGCAAATAGAGTTTTAGAAAGGTCGGCTAGTTGTTCTCCCAGAATCTTACAGTCAGTACCGCGTCCAACCACGCTGAGGGAGCAGCAAGTTTTAATGTTAGAAAAAGAAATGATGCATCCTACAGGTGTAAGATTACAGCTTAGAAAGAATGACTGTATTAGTTCGATTGGCTTTGTGGATGCATTTAATTCTGTGTGGTATGATACAGTCTCTAACAAATGTGTCAACATATCAGTTTTTATTTTATTTTATTAGGATCTGTGGATGGAAGCAAAAAGAATATCCTATGTTGTATAATGCTCTTCATATTGGCGATCGCCTCTTAAGTATAGAAGGGATAACTGTTGGATCCGCTGCTTTTGCTCAAGAAATACTGCAGTCGCGTTATTGTGGCCTATATGTATGCTTGTATTAATATTTTAGGTTCAAAGAATGTGTATAGCAAATGATAATGTTTTCGTAGGTAAGCGTCGTAATTAAACGAGTCCCATATGGAAGGGTATTTGTGATACACAAGGAGTGTGAAGGGCAATCGCTGGGCATCATTCAAGAAAACAATACTGCAGTTATACAGACGGTGCAAGAAAACAGTTTGGCTGCCAGGCACGGTCTAACTGCTAGGACCAAATCCTGCGACGGTACAACTCTTACTAATTGGGTACTTACGGAAATTAACGGGCGGCCTCTAAACTTATTCTTTAAGAAAAACCAAGTTAGAGACAGACTCAATTCTGTCGGCAGAGACATATCAATTTTAGTACAGCCTTTAGATTTAATAAAACAATTAAAGAAGCAAATGAAGTCCTTAAAAAATTATAAAGATTATATTGTACAGTAGCCTTTGTTTGGAAATGCAGTGATTTTGTTAGTTCTAGTCTTAAAGGCATCTTTGAGCGTTTAGTTTTCACTTTGAGATAGAGAATGTAATAGCAGTTTGTTTTTGTAGAAGAAATTGCACTACATAATTTTAGTATTAATTTTGATATACCAAATAGGCTTGTAAATATCACTTATTATTTTTTAAGTACTGAGCGGAAATACTAAAATTATTATGTTTTATGTATATCAATTACTTTTTATACAACGGAACTGGTAGTATTCTTGAACTGAACATTCTACATTTTTTTCTTCTTACCTTTGTTATCGATTTTTTTATTCTATATATACAGGGTGTTTCAAAAAACACGTGCCATCTTGGGGAGATTGCCGTGGGGAGATTCCTCACGTAAAATAAGATTTATTTTTTATATCAACATGGGTCTGATGCTGCTTTGTTTCGTAGATACCGGAGGTTAGTCATTTTTCTTTCAATTATAATTTTCTTCCAAGTGCTTTTAGCATTCGAATGAAATTTTGAGTGTAGAACTTACTGTAAGTGCTAAATATTTTAATGGTAAAAAAATATCCACATATTCACCAGGTACGTGCATATGAGTTATCACTGGAATATTTTTCTAAAAAAAAATTGGCGCGCGACACTAATTTTTTCCTCTTGTTTATCCATTAATGCCAATTACAAGTTGTATCTTGACATTTTGTCCATTTCAATCTCCTCGATGTGATAAACGCAGTCTTATTAACTACAATTAATATAATTAAAATAAAATTAAAAAATTATCTATTTAATCTAATTTATTACTAAATTTTATTAAAATTTATAACACTGATGTACAGTGCTACCTACAGCAAATTCCCCAAAAAAATAATGGTATTTAAGATATTTACAAAAGGCCTAGTTTTAACATCCTGTAACTTTAAAAATATACATTTCCGCACCCATGTTTATAGGAACTTTTTTTCATATTTTTTGTTGAGAAATCAATGAGTACTTATAACATTTTGGCAAATAAATAATATTAAATGTTTTTAAAAGTTGCCATTACAATTGGGGTAAGGCAAATTAATTAAATTGCATTTATCTCATCAAGGAGACCAAAATCGACAAAATATCAAGAGATAACTTCTAATCAGCATTTAGAGGTCTACATAATTTTGTTAAAAAGAGGAAAAAAAGTCAGTGGCGCACATATTTTTTTTTAGACAAATATTCCAGGGATGATAACCTATATTCACGTCCCTGGTGAATATGTCGATATTTTTTTACCATTAAAATATTTAGCACTCACAGTAAGTTCTACCCTCAAAATTTCATTCAAATCGCTAAAAGCACTTGGAAGAAAATTGTAATAAATCAAAAGATTATTAAGACTTTAACATCCTGTAGCTACGAAACAAAGCAGAATCGGACCTATGTTAATATTAAAAAAATACATCTTATTTTTACGAGAGGAATCTCCCCACGAGAGAGGGCACATGCTTTTTGAAACACCCTATAGGGTATTTCTGATGAAAATGATGGAATAAGTTTAAATTCCGTATAAAACACGTATAAAATTCCTTTATTCCTACCAATTTTATTTTTTTCGTGGAATATACGGTTGATGTTACTTTGTTCCTTCCAGGCATCCCGTATTATTGGTCATTTCTTTCTACAAGGTGTCGTTGAGAAATTTGAAATTATTTTATTTTAAACCTAAGAATCTCTGGTACGATTCCATCTGTCATACACGAACTTTTTTACTTATTTTTATCTGCAGAATATGCTGCCAAATTTTCTGGAATACAGTTCGGACCACCCTGTATATTTGTTTAAGAATAAGTTTACAGTTTAAATTCCCAAGGCATTTATGCCCATGTATCATGGTAACACATATCTTTATAAAATCCCTTTATTCCTACCCATTTTATTTTCTTCGTGGGATATGCGGTTGATGTGTCTTTGTTCCTTCCAGGCATCCTGTATTATTGGTCATTTTTGTCTACAGGGTGTCCTTGAGATATTTAAAATTGTTTTAGTTTAAACCTAAGAATTCCTGGTACGATTCCATCTATCATTTTTGGAGTCAAATTTTTGATTGTGTATTTAAGAAATGTGCAATATACATATACCTTTTTTTGTTAATATGAGCGTGAATATTATAAAGTATATTTATTTTTATACAGTTTAATAATAAAGTTGAAGAAATGTACAACCATTATTTTTATATTTTCTGTCGAACGCAAATGAAAATACAACAAAAAATAATTTATTCATATAATTTAACACAGATCTGCTTAACCAAGTGCATTAGGATTACTAACTCTGCCTGAAAACACAACAGTTCCACTCACTTTGTGAATTATGAAATATAAAAATGGCCTGTTAGCTAAGAAACGTGGTGGCGGACTTCTGTTGAGGAAAACGGAACCTAAAAGCAATAGAAATGTCATGTCAAGTTTATATTTTAAAAGAATGTTGTAAATAGAAGAGATACAATTTTATTAGTATAATATTGTGTACCTCCTGCTGCGCTGGCCACTGTACCTTCCTCATCAAGCTCAATTTCAGCTTTTTGAATAATCCTAGATACATACAAGTATTGGTCAAACATTCCTAATAAATCTGCCTGCTGTGAGTCGAAGAGATCTCTGATGCCCATCTTTAATAGAAATGATGTTTTTATGATTTAAATTTTATTAAAAGACATTTCATTTGTCTTACGTCATGCAAAGCTGGGTCTAAATTAAAATCTGATGATATTTTCATTTTTGGTATATAGACATGAACATTGTCATCGAACATTTGACGACTTTTTTGAAGAAATGCTAGGATGTCTGTGATGGATTCCTCTTTTAACGAATTCAGAAGGCCTCTTAATGTTTGCGTGCTTCTTGGGAGAAGTATGAGCATGGAGAAAAGGTCATCCTAAAATTAAATAAAGTATGTTTATTAAAAGTTACCTTGCTAAGTGCTTTAGGAAATAAAATATTTACACTGTACAGGGTGGGTCAAATTCGATGCTTTTAAATGGAAACACCCTTTTCTATAGGAGATAGACGAAAACTAATATCGGTGTCTGGAGCTCAATTTTCATCAAAAACATGATGGTGAAAACCGCACATCAATATCTGTTACCGTTTCGGAGTTACGGGGTGTTTTTCAAAAATGTGCATTTTTAACAAATCGCTGTAACTTTTTTGCTATGGAAAATTTTGTATTTCTGTGAAAACATTTCCAAAGCACCTTTTTACGTAGAATTTAATGGTTTAAGTATAATTTTTTTAAAATTAATAATTTAAAAGTTATCAACAGAAAAAATGATTTTTTATTTGGGACACCCTCTATATTTTTAATTAACAGAAAAGAATTTAAAATTACCTTTCCAAAAATATAGCACACTTGATATTTTGTTATAATCTCCTTCGAAATACAGAATTTTTCGCCACTTTTAATTAGTAGGCTTTGGACCCCTTATTGATGATATGCCCTTAATGGAACTCGAAAACATATTTTTCCAGCAAAACGACGCACCGCCTCTGAACGCTGAAGTTATCAGCAAATATTTGCAGCCAATTTCAAGAATAATTGGATAGCTAACCAAGATCCCAGCCGTTGGCCGTCGAGGGCGCCTGACTTAGTGCCCATAGAAGAGCGGAAGAATAAAGGTTCCTTATTCTTCCGTATAATCTAGACAAAAATTAGAAATACTTGGCAGTTATGAGAGGGTATCTTTCACCCCTACTGAGTTAATGAATTCCGCGAGAAATGTTCAAAAACTGCCCCGTCTGTCCATAACAGAAGACGGTCGATATGTCGAACACCTGTAGCAAAATCTCATGTCTTGGTTTGCTATTTATTTTTATTGTTATTAGATATAGTTTAAATGTGTTGATGTTGGTTAAATATATTTTAAATTGTTATAAAATTCTGCATCTCTCATAGCAAATATTATTTTCGTTTTAATTGATGCTCACAGCTAGAATTTTTTTGCATTACAGCCGGTGCCGTTCAAAGCCTACTTATTTAAAGCGGGCGAATTTTTATATACTTTATATCTCGAAGAGGCATCGAGCAAAATATCAAGTGTGTTATATTTTTGGAAAGGTAATTTTAAATTCTTTTCAATAAATTAAAAATATACAGGATGTCCGATATAAAAAATCAAATTTTCTATTGATAATTCTTAACTTATTAATTTTAAAAAAATTATACTTAAACCATTAAATTCTACGTAAAAAGGTGCTTTGGAAATGTTTTCATAAAAATACAAAATTCTCTATAGCAAAAAAGTTACAGCGATTTGTTAAAAATGCATATTTTTGAAAAACACCCCGTAACTCCGAAACGGTAACAGATATTGATGTGCGGTTTTCACCATCATGTTTTTGATGAAAATTGAGCTCCAGACACCGATATTAGTTTTCGTCTATCTCCTATAGAAAAGCGTGTTTCCATTTAAAAGCGTCGAATTTGAACCACCCTGTACATACATAGCCGTAAGGAATCTCCAGGGCAAATATTTTCAGACCATCGATACGACCATAAGGGTAAGGATATGACTGATACATCATTTGAACATTTCCAATTTTATTTTTCTTTTCATCGTAAAAACTGCTGCTTTTTGTCGCTGTTTTATTGAAAGGCACTTGCCATTGCCCTTTGAAATACATGGTCGTTGTCAAAAACAAATGTGCGTTCTGAAGATCCTCTGAAATAAAATTTTAAGTACACTAGTTGAAATTTAAAGTGCGCCTCACTTACTGGGATAAACTAATTCTGTAATTCGATTATTCGTAGCAGCAGCAATGTACTTATTAATAATATTTGAAGCTACATCAGCGTTATCAAAATTGACTTGTTGGGTGGTTGTATTATAAAACTGCTTGGCCACGCTCTTGAATTTTTCTCTCAGCTGGAATTTTTCTTTTACAAATATAGCGCTTGAAGTATCGAACTCCGCGCCATCAGACTTTTGTTGCAGCTTTTGCGACAAACGCTGATACGAATCTCTGACGACGTTTTTATTTTCCGGTAGCCTTAATGCTTTCTCTATCTGATCTGCTGTTGCACCGACGGCCCCCTCGGATATTATGCTCAGAAGAGTCCATATCGTGAACGGAGACAATGCTATGTTTATATTATCGCTGGCTTTCTGATCTGTAGCCTAAAGGTTATATTAAATTACTAAAATGCATTATTTCATACAAAGGAAACTTCTTACCGCAAGGAGGTCAACTGAGAATTTGTTAACTGACTCGGCTATGTTAAATTTTTCTTGCATAAAAACTGGAGTGGCGCATAAAATCGGAATGCCATACAACAGAACTGCAAAGAAGTGGATTAAATGGTGGATGCGCCAGGAAATATCGACCTTTGACGATCGATTATTTATTGCTTATTTGCAATCCGGTTTCTCAATTCAAAATTAATGAAGAACTTTGTGCTTATTGATATTGTCTTGATATTAGCATGCGTGCTCTGTGGCAACTAACGAAACAGACCAAAATGTAAAAAAATTATAGGCAACTTTGTACTTACATGAGCTGAAAGCCATTATTCGATTAGATTTTTCGGCAAGAGCCCTTAAGAAAATTAACTATCACACTTAAATATTTGCCAACAAAACCAGTTTCAGACCCGTTGGTGTTGAAGGTACTTAGCTAGTTAACAAAATGGTACTTCATGACGATATGGGAAGATAAAACCTTTTCTTGGCTCTCGAAGTAGTCCATACGTATTGGCCGCGAACAGAATTTAAAACAAAAACAACTATAATTTTTATAGCTCATAAAATCGTGACCTACTCGAGATTATAGGAATGCCGGAACAAAACTGACTCTAGATGAGTCCAGTGTTGTGAGAATGGATTGGGAAAAACCAAATCTAAAAGCGAAGGCTGTTCGTTCGCCAGTATTAAAATATAATAAACAACTTTAAACAAGTCAAGAGTTACTTGCAGTCTGAACTATCAGTGCCGTTCATTGAATAGTTTGGAAGAGAATTACGTACAATGTACAATGTACTGGTGGTTGCAAAGATAGCACAGAAGCTGTGTTTAAACCATTTTTTATTTGAATTTACTATATGACTAAACACGTCGTAATTTCTTACTGGAAATTTTTCTTTGTAATCGCGTTCTAAATTAGCTGTTGGTCACATTTATTTTATGTACGATCATAAAATTTAGCTATAATTTTGTCGATAAGTCATATCATATAAATCGGTAATGTTTATAAACGTTTATTAAATTATTTTCAACATTTAATTGAATAATATTTTTCAGAAATAAAGTAAATTACAAGGAATACGAGTAGAAATTTTTGTAGATAATAAAGAATGAGAATAATAATATTTGAATCACCAGTAATTAAATTTACCATTATTTATTTACATATTAAATGGCTGTTGGGCAGTAGTTGACCAGCCTGTTATATTTTACTACGCCTATGGGTTATATGAAGTGTGCAGATTCTCGACGATTTCCTCCAATAAAAAATTGCAAAACTAAACAACGTATACCGAAAATGCACATAGCTATTTAGAATAGCGTTTGCAAACCCAAAAACATTTTTATTTTGGTGACTAGCAAAAAATATTTCTTACTTCTATGGAATTTATTAATGATATATTGAATATTAAGTTATATTATATTTGGTTCTTGTTTGACAACATCTATTAGTATTTGTTACTTTGATATCTTTTACTATTTCGAATTTTTATTTGTGTGGTGGGCCACTGCGGATCCATACTAATGATGCGAATATTAATAAAATGCATTTTAGTAAGTGTATTTAGAAATGAAAACACTGGTATTTCCAAATGGAATTTTTATTTTATCGCTTACGATTATATACAGCATAAACTGATGTCTTTCAATGAATCACTACATGATCCTGTAATTCTAATACACACGAGGCTACAACACATGATTAGAAATACAAGTTTGCTTTTTTGCTAAGATACCATAATGTTCATTAATTTGCAGTTTCCCTAATTCTAATTATTAGAAATATTAAAATGGTGCTACTTATATTAAACTAGTAATGGATATTACAAAACTGGAAATATGTCAAGTACACGTTCAAAAATTGAATATTTCATTAGTGATATACAATATTAATTAGCTTTAAACCCTAGCTTAGACACAATGACAATAAAAGGAATAAAATCAGTTTTATTGTAAACCCACGAATTACTTATAATAAAAAATTATTTATTAATGTAGGTACTCTGAAAGTAAAACGGTAAAGTTTGGGTCCTTAAACGAATGAATATATAAATTTTACATTAAAGAACTTGAATTACTATATATCTACTGTCTAGAAGCTGTTATATAAAAAATCATTAACAAAATTATATCAGTTGAAATGAAGTACATAGCACAAAGCATCAATTTCAACATTTTCAATTAAAAATATTATCTCGAAGAATACTTCGCAGCAGTTAGCAAATGTGTAAAATACAATTTTACTCCAAACATGATAAAATGCATTTGGTTCTAAATACACTATATCATATTAATTAAATTAGCTAACTCATTATATAGAATTACTTATGGAAAAGAACCGAAAAACATTGGAAGAACATTTACAAAAATAAATGTAACCTAATCACAGTAACCATTAATATAGGTTTATGAAGTAAAACTATACCCTAAATTAACAATAAATAAAATATATAATTAATTAACAAGTTCAAATCCATAAAATGTTAAGATTTAACGCAAGTCAGGGTTTTCATTCAGTTGCTTTTTAATTCTAAGTAAAATCGTTGTATACCACTGATCTAAACGTGAAATTGAATCATATTCCTTTACAGCTTCAGTATAACCATCTACGTTTTGCTCTTCAATATGATCAATCAATGTCTTAACAAGTTTGTATTCTCTGGAATCCTGAAAAGCTGGGTATTGTTGAATATATCTTTCCAAAGCATGTTGTGAATTCAAAACATCAACACACAGATGGCATAGAGCAGCTCTAAACAAATATTCCTTTGCACTATATTTAAGTAAGGAACTTTCTAATGCTGAGGTAGCTACTTCTTGGTATATTTGTATGGCTTTTTCATAATTTTCCAACTGAGCAGCATACTGAGCAACTTTCAATAAACATTTATTGGCCGATGCATTACTTTCTTCCCCTCTAAAATAATCAGCAGCTTGTTCATAATGTTGAACAGATTTTTCCAGATCAACCGCTTCACTTTCATACATTTCAGCAATAGTTTGATGATGTTTTGCGGCCATAGTAAATTTACCCATATCCGTATAAATTTCTATTGCTTTTAACAGGCAATTAACGGCTTCTGCAAAGCAAGTAAAGTGATGTATAAACATAAAACTTCAGTTATAAAGTATGATTTTTTATTAAATAATAATAAAATAATGTTTACCATTAATGTCGGATTTTTTATAGCAATTGGCAGCATCAACATAGTTCGTAGCAGCCTCATGTCGAGATCCACTCCGCAAATGTAAGTTGGCTGCTTCACAGAAAGCACTACCAGCTGAAGACCAACTCTTGCCCATTTTAAATAAATTAGCAGCACGTTGAAAACATTCCACAGCATCTTCGAGACGATTAGAACCACTAGAAAACATAAGTAATTAAAATAACCGATTACTAGTTCAAAAAAATTATCATGTAGGGCAGTGGATATCAAGTCAAAATTAATGTTACACGTACCCGAATAGCGAACCAAAAAATCCTCTCGGGCCTAATTTCTTCTCTGCTTCAGCAATTAATTGCTGAGCTTTTTGTTCATTTGTTGACATTATTTAAAAATATATTTATTATCGTGTATTTCACGAACACTTTAATGACAAATTAACAGTGAAAGTTCAGTGAAATTGTTGATAAATGACGGCTGACTGCTGTCATAGACTTCTTTCATCCATGCTCCTGTTACGCATGCCTGTTACTGGTGAACCATAGAAAAATAAACGGCAATGTGGTGACACTGAACCATTATTCAATTTAACTGGTTGCCTAATAATTTCAAACGTTTAGAAATATTTTATAAAAGACCGCTATAATTAATAATCTTGCTTAAAGATATTTATATGCCACAATACTTATCCTATTTGAGGTATATTTTTTGGTACTTTTTAATTCGATAAAATCAATAAAATATTTACCAAAAATAGCCATAATTTCAAATGTAATTTTGGAGCCTTTAGAAAATAATCTTGAACCCAGAGATATGGAATGGACTAAGTCTATATCTTTTCTGCCTGAACCATATACTTGAACCGTGCTTGAACCATGCTTGAACCCCTCTTTGACATTTCAGCAGGCTTCATATTTGAAAATCTAGTTTTGTATGTTTTACCTACCCTCTCTTCCTCCGTGGTTTTACAATAAATAATGAATATAAGACGATAAGTGTTTTATCCTTGTTTATATATAAGGGTTTTACCCAAGTTTTACCCTTGTTTTTACAATAAAAAAAAGTTCGTTTTGCTAACATTATTTATACCAACTTTTGTGTCGAAGTCTTGTTTATAAGTAGTGTTTATTTTTTTCAATTTTTAATTCTGTTCTAGATATTTTACATACATAAATAATTTCCTATTTAATTAATTGTTGTAGGCGCGCGCGTTTTAAATAATCAAATTAGTCTTTTCAATTAATAAAGGAATTTTTAATATTAAAAAATTCTTTCTATTGTTTCAGGGGGTGGTGCCTATATAAATCCAACAGTGACGATAGGGGGAGCACACACACAATGGGCATAATCAAAAGAATATCTTTCTGTGGACATATTTGTTTATTAATGGCGGGTGATGCGATTGCTGGGGCTGCCTCTCTTTACACGAGTGAGTACAAAATATTTGTTTATATATGTATCCAACCAAATTTTGTATTGGTATAATAAATCATCGGTACATATTTTAAGTAAAATTTATTAGTATTTAAGTATTATATAGCGAAACTGGCGCCATATAAGTGTTCATGCCAAATATAATAGATATATTCTACAGTAATTAACGTATTCATATGAATGTACTCACGTACTGATCCTTTGCGAATGCTCAGGTGTATAAAGTTATTTAATTTATTTTCGTTTTCATCGCCAAAATTATGGAATGGACCAACTTTGTTATTATTAATACAAGAATACGAAAAGTTGACCATTTTATAGGATGTAAAATATTCCGCTTATTATTCAAGAACCAAATTTAAACGCCTCTTAATATATTGAAATAACAATAAAAGTAAGTTTTTTCTAGGCTTATTATATTATAATATATATTCAATATCATTTTATTAAGGCATTAATTTGGCCCACGTTTTAATAATTTAACCCACTATGTGGATAAATTTAAAATTAAATATTGTTAACTAAGACGGCTGTGCTTTTGCTATATGGAAAGACTTTCTTCTCATTGGTCAACTCATATGTCATACGACGACTTCCGGAAATTGGCGTCTCCATGAATACCCAGAGATCCGTATCTCTTCGTGACGGGTATTTCAATTTTTGTGTTTTTTTTTATAAAAAATGAGTTTTGTGTACACTGTTTGTTCGTAAATTCTTGTTTATGCATCGCTCAGCTTCTGCAAAAAGTGAGTACTTGATATTTTCTTAATATTTCAATATATTTGTATTAATATTTTTTGCAATCTCGTAACCATCATGGCGTCTGCGCTTTTCTTGCCTTAATAATATTTTTAATTCCATGTTTTTGATTTGTTTTAAAGAAAAAAATTGTTTTAATATCTATAACGGTTATGGATATTATTTATTACAGAGAGAAATGTCGCACATTATGCGAAAATTTTAATGCCGGTTTTTTTTTCATTTTTTATTTTCGAACTGTTAATGGTATCAAAATTAATTTAGGAATATATATAACATATTTCTGGGGTCGAAATATACTTTCTGGGGTCAAAATATCGATCTCTCGTTTTCATTCGATCTTTTGTTATTAATATATAGTGTCAAAAAGGCCTTGCAGTGTTTTTACTTTTCTTTTTAGACGCGATTGAATACTACACCGGCAATACGAACCGGCAGGGATGTTATTGATTAACTCGATGGCAGGTAATGAAATTTACTTAAGTAAATTTTGCAGATGGTGTCCCGACGAATTGGATCAAAGGGTGACGCTCCAGAGCACGACGCAGCCTTCTTCCGTAGAGGAAACCTGGATCATCCCCCGAACTTGATGTTCTGCCTTAGATGACCTATGTAGCATGCATAGGGCCGTATCCAAGGAGTCACCACCCTCTGGTTTACAAGCTAGGTGTTCTAATGCTAGAGGCTTCGGCCGGATACGACCTGGCACCCAAGCTTCGAGATTTCGTGCACGTATTGCGTTGGACCTCGAGGGCGTAGGGGACGGGATACGGATACTCTTTATGGATAGAAATTCGGGGTAGGATACCCCAACTCAACCTAGAACCAACTAAAGTAAGTTTATTTTATTTTTCTCTTTTAAGATTTTTAACTGATTATTTTTTTCTATTTTTCTAGGATAATTCGAGTTCGTCGCTCATTTAAATCGAAGAAGATTTCAGATGAAATATTGCAAGACGCCTGTGATTAGTCCTAGAGCTTCTTTGGATTCTCCCAATCACCGTCGAGTACTTGTTTAAGTACCAACTCTACAGAATCGTCCGATGTCCAGAGAGTTGCAGACATTTTAGAAGTGGTCAATGCAGTGCTCATTATGAGAAAGCACTTTTCTTCAGCTGAATATTCCTTCTATAAATGTAAGTTTAATAGATATCTACTTGCTTAATACTGATTATAGTAGCTGTTATTAATTTGATTGAAAAAAATATTTGGTAAAGCTGTAAACCTTAATAGATGGTTTTTTATTATGTATAATTCTATTTACTATTAACAATTTCATTTAAATCATATGAGAAAAGCTAGAAATTAATTCTTTTATTTTAGGAAATACAGCAATATGGTCTAAAGCCTCTGTTCTGTCCTCTCTTACACTCACAATGTAACAGCTGTAAAACTAGATTGTCCTAGCTCATGTAACAATCTGACAGTTGTAACGTTCTGTTACACATGTAAGTTTATATAATTTTGTTTATTTTTCTTAACTCTAATAGCTACCTGATTTGAATGTATATGATTATGTTTAAGTTATTATTAATAGCTTGAAACAGGTTTTAGAGTACAATAAAGCTAATATTTATTTATTTTACTTTAGGGAATACTACATGTTGATGGAACAGCAGCTGTAAATTGTCTTGACTTCAAATCTCATAATTGATAAAACTACCAGCATTCTTCTTAAAGGTAAGGACATTTCTAATTTTATACTTAAGGCTTGTTTACACGTAGCCAGTAGCTGACGCTAGTTTTACTGATACACCAACACTGGTATGGTAGTGGTACGGTGTAAACACTTTCGTGCCAGTAATTGGCAAAAATTTACCTGCAGTTTACAAATACTTAATAAAGGCTAATTTTATTTTGTAATGAAGAATCTTTTTCCATTAAAAACATTATTCTTATCTTTTTCTTAAAGCAACTAAATTAAGTAACTAATTATCTATATAGTGGTTTTTAATTGTTTATCATAAGCAGGTTCGTTGTAAACTTTTAGTAAAAGACCACATTATATTTACATAAAATTAACTAATGTAAGTATACTTTTCTATATATTTCTAATCTAATCTTTTTTTCTATTTTAAATAGTATTATTAAAAAACAATATTTAAAATTTATTATTACGTGTTTTTTAGAAAGCTATATTTAATAATTTAAGTTACATTAGTTAATTATTATGTTAATAAAATATAGAGTCTATTAATTATAATGTCGATGGAATTGTTTCTCTAAAGGGTATGCAACTAAACATACCTCAATTTTGTAATTCTGTATGCAGATTAACTTTATTTTTTATATTTATTTGTACCACGACATCAGGAAAAAAAAAATTTATTTTTTTAAATTAAATGAAAACAAAAAATCTGGCGACGACAGTTTTTAGAAGATTAGTACTGAACTTTAGACCAATTAGCTATCTTTTTAAAAAACAACTTTCTGAGCAAGTCGTTACTTCAGTAGAGACGACACAGATAAACATTAGCATTTTATATATGTAGATTTGTTTTATTTTATTTGAATAGTTCAATGATTGATTGATTGATTGATGATATGATTACGTTTATTTTAAGTTATTAATAGTTAAAAAATAAAAAATAAATAAATTTAAAATTTAAATATCTTCCAAATATTTATATAAACAGCTCTTTTGATTATCTTATAGAAATACTTGTTACTTATAGTTTTTTTACTTGTAGGTATTTATTTTGCTGCTTTTGGCTGTTGCTTCAATACCAAAAGGAGTCTATATGTATAGGAGTTTATTTTTATTCTGGTACTGTTATAAAACTTGATAATCTGGACAAACTTCAGACTTTAAAATGTCATTGTACTCCAGAAAAAGTCATATAGCTGATAATTTCTCCATTTCTAAAATTATGCTTTGAATTTCATTTAAAATTTTGGTAATATAAACAAATGATCAGTTTAATTACTGTTGTTAATAATTATTTGCCAATCATATTTTTAGTTAGATTTGACTTACATATGTTGACACAAGTAACAATTCTAATATACTGACTACGCTGTTATAATTATTTTTATATCTGTATTTTATTTACTAACTTTTGTAGTATATTACTTGTGACACTTTTCATATTTTTGTAGATTTTCCAGATTATCACAGTTCTTTGGTATATTTCACTTGCGCAAAAGCATCACTAGATTGTGGCAATATGAATACATTATTTTTTAAGGACATTAAAGCTTTGTTTTTAATGTTCTTGCAGTCTACAGTCCATTGCTTTCAACTGTTTATATGGTAAATCTGAGTGTACCATTTTTCTAATATTAATTTATATGGTAGTTATTCCAATTAAAAATTTTCATACATATTAAGAAATAATGTAATATACATATAAACTAATACTGTGACATAATATCTTATTATCATTAATAATTTTTTAAGTTTTTAAAATTGTATCATAAATTGGTTTATTGTATATAGCAGATTTTTTGGTGAATTTCTGTGTCCCCCTTGGGATTTCTATATATGTAATTAGGAATTACAGTTCAAAAAAGGCTAATTTTATTTTGTAATAAAGATTCTTTTTTCATTAAAAACGTTATTAAAAAGCCGCTAAATTATCTAACTAAATTATCAGTTATTATTACATCATTATCTCAGTTTATTTAGTCGGTTTCAAAGCAATGTTCTGTTGAATAAATTATATTTTGTGGTATTTGTATTCATAGAGCTACTTTTAAAAATTAAAATAAGCACTCTAGAAGTTTTTAGTTGTTCATCACAAGCAGGTCGTTGTAAACTTTCAATAAAAGACTATATTATACTAGTTGAAGTCTGGCGCATCCGCCACGACATAAAAAAAATACTTTTATTTTTTATTTTTTAATTAAATGAAAAACAAAAAATCCGGCGACGACAGTTTTTAGAAGAGCCAATTAGCTATCTTTTAGTAAAAAAAGCAACTTTGTAGAGCAAGTCGTTACTTCAGTAGAGACGACACAGATAAACATTAGCATTTTATATACATAGATTATCATATAATTAACCAATGTAGGTAATTTAACTTTCTAAGTATATATTTCTAATAAATTTTAAATAGTATTATTAAAAAATGCTATTTAAAATTTATTATTACGGTTTTTTAGAAAGGTATATTTAATAATTTTAGTTGCATTAGTTAATTGTTTTTTAATTTTTTTTAAAATATAGTCTATTATTTATAACGTTGATGGATTTGTTTCTCTATAGGATATGTAACCAAACATACACCATTGGTGTATGCCCATTAACTTTATTTTTTATATTTATATTCGTTTTATTTTATTTAAAATTATTAAATCTACAACTAGAGTTCTTATTTTAGTTAAGTAATATCCATGGTAATATACTTTATTACAAAACACTACTTTTATTCTTGTATTATTGCAACTTTAAATTTTCAATTTTCTTGTCTATTTGTATTAATTTATTTTTTTAGCTCAATACAGTTTACAGCTGATAACTAGATTAATTAAGTGCAATAATACATACTTAAAATTAGTTTTTTTAAGGTATGTTACATGAATGGCACACTAATTATATTTTATTTGTGTAAAACAGGGTAAAACCAAAAATATTTAAACTTGAGTTGAAATATCTTTGGGTAAAACAATATTATGAGCAATATGAATACATTTAATTTTGTCTCAATACACATTTTTAATGCCCTTTCAGTATACAGTGCATTGCTTTTTAAAGATACATACATATTTTGGGGTAAAGCCCTTATTTAAGTTTTTTATTTATTAATTATTTTTTTATTGTTCCGCCTTTTTTAAATGAAATTAAAGGTAATCTAGAAAAAAAAACATTAAGTAAATTTATAAGTTTTAATGTCAATGCGATGAATGTAATTTGTATTACTACAAAAATTTTGTAGTACTTGTATTCATAGAGCTCCTTTTAAAAATTAATATAAGCACTTTATAAGTATAATTATTGTTCTTCATATACAGGCATTTTATAAGGCTTTTAAAAATTCTCCTCATTTTTCTTGTTTAGTTTAATCATAGATTATGTACATTTTGTGTATTCCTAAATGAGTTGATATGTAGTTGTTTTTAGAAATATTTTAAGTTATTATGATACTAATAAAATGTCAGTATTTTAGTTTCTTCGAAAGATCTCATACATTGCAATTATACAGGAAGTGTTCTAATTCAAATCATTTTTATTACGTCTTTTAGAGCAAACTGCAAACACAACAGTAGGTTCGGTTGTGGACTTTTGGTTTATTTTTTGAACTGTGGCAAGTCTATAACATACAAATATGTCTCTATATAAAGAGTTAACTAAAACGTTTTATCAGTTTACAGGGTGGATTTTCATTGTTGCCATTTTAATTATTACGTTTGATAAAGTAGCTCTTAAATCACTTAGGTTGGACAAAAGTCATGATATAGTTATCAATCACATATTTAAGTGTTTTATAAATATAGACAACTAGTTGTTTAACCTGAATTACACGTTATTAACCAACTTTACATCATATTTTGCTTAAAAAATATTTGCCATCAATTTTTATTTTATTAATATTAAATATTGCTTTATTAAAGTTTAATTAGTTTTTTATAATATTGAGAACTCATTTTTTAACAGCTGATAAAGTCTTAAAATTTTATTCATAAACATTTCAAACAATAATTCTAGTAACTATTTCTTGAAAACTTACTCTGTGATGCAGCTATTATTTTTTTGTAACGGATTTTATAACAATTTTTAATTTTGTTCTCTTAGACTATAATAATGTAGATAATAATTAGAGATTCAAAATCTTATAACTTTTAATACAAAGTTCTGATTTCTCTTTTTTACTTTAAAGAATGCATTTAACATAATTTGTTTTTATAGAAATTATTTTAGATTTTTTCTTATTTTTTATGTTTTTATAAAAATTATTTAAAAACATTATTTCCGAATCATGTCCCTAATTTTTAAAAATGTTATTTTCATTAAAAATTATTCTTATTATATATTGTTGAACATTTTCAGACTACAGGGTTAAAATCGGATATATTAACTGATAAATTAACTAAAGCTTGTGTATGTTTTTTTTAGTTATCTAGAAAGCACAGTCCTAATGTTTAGTTGTAATTCTAGTAATGTTTTTAATATGCATGATTTAAGTTATATACGTCATTGTTAGTATTAGAGTTTGATCGTTCTATTTTGAATAATGAATCACCTATATTTTTATGCGAAAATGTATGAGGTCTTTTATTTGTCGGATATTAAAGGATTGTGCTGCGGTGTAAATTGGCGATGTAGAAAAGGTAAGATTAGATTAATGGCTGTCCTATAATATTTTTTCTCAACTTTTGATCCACGCCTATGGTTCATTCATTCATTATTCCTCTTATCCGTTAAATGATTAAAATACTCCGAATATACCAAGGGCGTAGCATAGAAGTTTTTCAACTGAAGCTAAAACAAAAATACATGTTACAGTGTATACATCCCTTATACGCTTAGTTACACTTTTTACTTTTTTTTGTAAACATTGAGCACTTTATGTAATTTTTGATATAAAACATATCTTTTAATACTCTATCAGAAATTAAAAGCAAATATAAGATAATCTTTAACCATATAACAATAATAACTTTTGTTGTAACAATGCAATACTACTATTAACGAGTAATAATTACATTACGAAACTGTTGTCAACAAATAAACAACATAGATAATTATTATTTTTAAAATTTTTCTTATAAGTTTCTCAGCTAGCAATTTTTATCCTAATTCTTATTTTTTTAAATTCTTTTGTCTTTAATTTTCGTTTATTATGAGCAATTCTACGTTGATCCTTTCAGTCAAATAACTATATGTACTGAACATGTTTATTTTTTGTCAATAATGCCATATACAGGGTGATTTTTAAACTATACGCATAAAGTTGTTAAACTATTGCTGATGACAAATAATGACTAATAATGAAAAAAAAGTTTAGTAAAATATTTTTATTTAGGGAGATAACAAACTATTTGAAATAAAAACAAAAAACTTAAATTCCATTAAATTGAATTTGCATTTACTGATAAAGTTGATAAATTTTTGTGAAAAAAAACTCAAATTATTACAGAATCTAAAAATATTTTACTAACATTTTTTTTCCATTATTATAGTAAAATAAAAACACTAAATCACCACAATACACCAAAACACTTTTACTTTTACACGGGACGCGCGTTTCGCGCAGATGATTATAAACCATGATATAATCAGGAGATGATTATAAACCAGTTTATAATCATCTGCTGATGATGCTAACATGGTTAGCGAAACGCGCGTCCAGTGTAAAAGTAAAAGTGTTTTGGTGTATTGTGGTGATTTAGTGTTTTTATTTTGCTGTGTAACATCAAAGGTTCCAACCCTCAACTGTAATTATTATAGTCATTATTTGTCATCAGCAATAATTTCCCAAGTTTATGCGTATAGGTTAAGAATCACCCTGTATTGACTACTTCCATTCTAAATTATAATTATTAAAAATTAGAATTAATAATTAATTCTAATTTTTCTTCAGTCACACGGTATTTTATATTAAAACTAAAAAGTTCTACGTACCTGAAGAGCTCTATAAATTCTAGGACAGCTACTTACCTTTTTACGCCATTATGCTATTAATATAAATTATACTATATAAGTCCATTTCAGCCCACTAATATTTTTTATTTCCCAGTTGACCTTGCCTACAACAAATTTTCAATTTCTGTAATGAAAATTTGTAGTAGGAGGCAATATACGAAAAGGAGTATAAGGTTAATAACTTAAACTTACACTTCTTTAGGTGACCATACCGGTGCAAAAC